CTATTTTGAAGCAAGTTATGGAGGAAAAATTGAATGCTGCAAATGTCGAAGTTGTTGTCATCAAACCAACAACAGATGAAAAAGGTCGTCAAATCGGACAATTCGAGCGAGTTTCAGATGCGGAATTAGATCAAGTAATTGCAGCACTTTAAGTCGAAATGCATGATAATCTTTTTATTTTCCGGTTTGTTTCCATTATTTATTGAATTTCTCATAAATTATCTTCAAAATAAACGTTTTAAGAGTCTTTGAAATTCGTTTCCAAATTTTTCCGTTTGCACAGGAAGTTGTGTAAAACAGTTCAGGAAATTAACTTTCTTCTTACTCAGTTAATTATGATTTTTATTTCACAGAATTTCGAAAAAAAAAAGAAATAAATATTAGTATTATACGTGTAGTGGGAGCGGGGCGGGGCGGGGCGGGGCAATTTATCTGACAGCGGGGATCAATAAAACTATTTACACGAAATTATGAATAAATTAAAAAAGAGAGAAGATTAGTCGAATTCGTCGCGAAGAGCGATTCGAGCAACCTTATATTCTTCGCCGGTTCCATCGCGAAGAATCGAGTTGGAGATTGGCAAGCAAACTTCGAAATTTGCCGATTCATCGTTATGCGTTGCTTTGAATTGACCGATTGCAGAATTGTGATGAGTTGGGTGGATCGAACATTTCAAATCTGCAAAAAAAGAAACTCATTTGTTTTTTTTTAACAAACAGGACTTCAGAGCAAAAAAAACTAGAACTTACTGGAATTTTCCCAGAGCTTGAATCCATAGTGAATCGAATCGAGAACATCTTCTTCGGCATTCTTGCTAGCAAGAATATAATGTCTCGATCGAATTTTGTGGACGAATTCCCTCATCTCCAGCTTTCCAAGTGTTGTCTCCAATTGCTCATTTCTTGGAATATTGACAAAATCGAAATAATACGGTCTGGCAACTTTTGGACCTTTGTAAACAACCGCTTCCTCTTTCACCATTCCTAATGGTTCAGATTCAACCAGGCTGATTGGTTGCGGTGTTTGTTGTTGTTGTTGCTCATCGACTTGTTCCGATTCATTTGCACATGCGTCCAAAATTCCATCAATCAATGGATCCGCTTTCTCATATTCCGGTTCGCCTTTGTTGCCATTCGAGAGAATTGTTGATCGTTCTTGCATCAATTCGTGTTTCGATGTTTCACGATTGCCATTTTCAACCACAGGATTTTCAACAACTGATTGAGTTCCATTTGATTGAGGCGGGACAAAGTTCAACTCTGATAATCAATGAATTAGAATTGGAAATTTTCAGAACTAAGAAAGCCACAGTCATTTTGAATTTCTGACTCACCTGAAGCAATAATTCCCGACATAGCATGGACGAATGGAAGTGGAGAATCCTAAAAAAAACCGATTCCACCTCAAACTTCAATTTATTTATTTTTCTTAAACTCACCAATGCAATACCTCCAAGCTTATTGGCCAAATCAGTAATATCTCCAGGTTTTGAAAAAACTGAATCTTCTTGTGATGGTGCAACCGCTGGAGCTGATAATTCAGCAAAATCGATGAGAGCCGCTGAATTATTGGTGGTGTCTTGAGCATTACTCGATTCCGACAAAGTGAAAGTGGAGTCATTGTCGAATGCGACAAATCCAGCTTGAACTTGAGCTGTCTCCAAATTCGTAGCGCCTTCAGCTTCTCCAAACTCAATGAGTGATTGATTTTTAGTCTCAGATGTGGCGAATTCAGTTTCCGGAGTTGAAACATTATCAATTCCTTGGATAACTTCTTGCTCTTTTTGCTCTTGAATTGGCTCTTCTTCGAAGTGTGGAACTTGTTCTTCTTGAACTTCTTCTTCAACTTGAGGTTCTTGTGGTTGTTCCTGAATTTGAGATTGTTCCTGAACATGTTGTTGTTGTTCAACATGTTCCTCTTCATGTGCAATAGCTGTTGGTTCAGGAGTCGGTGGAATCACAACAATATCACATCCATTCTGAACTTCATCAATTATAATCACAGAATCATCGGCTGAAGCGGTGATCACAACCGGTGGAGCAATAACTGGTGGAGCAACAACAGTTGGAGCATCTGATTTCACCGGAGCAACCGCTTTCAGTGGAGCTGCAGCTGGTTTTGATGAAGCAGCCGGTTTCTTGCTGTAAAATTGGGAATTTTCTAATTAAATAGAATAAAAATTCTGACAAAACTTACATAGCTGCATTATTCAAAGGTTTAGCTGTGACTTTAGCTGCTGGGCGAGAAGGTGCTGGACGTGTTTTTGGTTCGACTTTGGAAACCGCTGGTCGAGCAGGTCTTGGGGCAACTGCAGTTCTTTGTGGTGCAACTGGAGCTCTTGCGGTTGTAGCTGGAACTCTGGCTGGTTGAACTGGTCTTGTTGCAGGTTTTGCAGAAGCTGGTCTAGTTGAAGCAGCTGCGCGAGATGTTGTTGAAGAAGCAGCGGAAGAAACAGCTGGCCGTGATGTTGTTGGTCGCGAAATTGGTTTCGAAGCCGGGCGAGATGGAGCTGCTGCAGTCGGTGCTGCTAACGGTTTATCGCCAGTTTTCACAAGTGGTCCGTTGAGGAATGGGAGGAATTTTGAAGCGCGATCCAGTGATTTTTGAATACGTTCAAAGGAGCAAGTTCCCGGAAAGAAGAGAGCGAAGAATTGGTTTCGCATTACCTGCAGGTTTCCAAACCAAGATCGAAACGGTTCCGTGTTCCGCGAAGACTTTGCTCATTTCTTCTGCAGTTCCAGAAGCTCGGCCAAGTTTTTCAGCATCTTTCTCATCGCCAGCAAGGACGTACATAGAGAGCTCACCTTTGATGAGTGACTGTAAAAATTCAAATTTAAATTTAAGTTTATATATCACAAAAACTTAAGTACCTTATATATCACATATGGCTCATACTTTGCATTAAACAATGGCGCCGAACGGAGATCTCGGCAATTTCCAGTCGCCAACTTTTTCAACTGCGCTGTCGATCCTCCTTTGATATTTGCAATCGCCGGAACATTGTCCAATTCAGCAGCACTTGTCAAATTTGTTGCAGTTGGAGCACTGATGAATAGTCCATTCGAGTTTTTGAACTTTTTCAAGAACGCCAAGCTGTGTGCATCGGCTCCACCATCCAAGAATTGTTCGCCATCAATATCGAAGACGTTGGCCAGGAAATCTTCGCCAACCACCGAATAAACACTGCCTGGTGTGTGACCGATGAAGACTTGTGGAGTACCGGCTTCGGTTTCAGATGACATCTTAAAAATGGGACGAGTGAAATTTCGAAAAATGAGTGCGGAAAAAATGAACGACAAAATTCAAAAACACAAAAACGCGCGCCACGAAACCGTACACGTTTTAAAGGCGCACAACAAATTTTATGAAAAAATTGCGTGTTCAAATTTTTTATTCAAATTTTTTATTCGCAAAAAAATGAAAGCTAGATAAAAACACTTAACCAATGATCATCAAAACTATATTTAGCGAAAGAAGAAACACCGCAAAAATGTATGTCCGCCCGAAAACAACAACGCGCTCATGTTTTACGCGCCTCCACTCTCTCGCCTATTATTTTGCCAGAAGAGAAGAAACGAACGACAAAAAGAAAACAGAAGGAAAACGACAGATTTTTTTGCTCACAAAAATCATATTGACTTTATGTGTGAGTGTGTGTGTGGTTTGAGCGATGAAATCCGATATTTCATCATCATAATTGTAAAAAAATTACAATCGATTTTAATAAATCCCCAAAAAAAGTGGAAAAATGAAAGTGTTCCTAAGCAACCGCAAAATTGTACTACTAATAATAATAGGTCTTAGAGGGGCTACCAAATAATTCTTTCGGTCAATAAATGATAAAAAGAGAGAAAAGTGCGGCTAATAATCCCGGCAAAAAATTGCGAAATACTTGGATTTCACAGCGAGAATAAACCATCTAAAACGAAATTCTTTGGGGAACCAAAATGAGAAAACATGAATTTTAATCCATGCATGTGAATATTTGTGCTTGCATGTTATGTCCTTGGTTTTGTTATGTTATGTTATATAAACCAAATTTATTATGTATGTGGTCAGAAAAATTATACTATACTGTGTACATAATCGACCTTGATATATACAGAAAAAATCTAATGTAAAATAAAATAAAGTAAAGTGAAAAAGAAGGACCCGAAAAAATAAAGGTTTCACTAGATATTTAAATTAAATTGCACATTCTTGAAGCTCCAAATTTTCTTTTCCAATGCAATTCGATGTTTTTGTTGTGCCAATGTAGCGTTGAATGGATTCTTTGGTATATTTTGCCACGTATCTGACAAATGGTCGGAGATCGCCTAAATTTGCCACGTGGAGGCTGGAATAGTATTCGGCGCGAGTTTCGACGGGCAGAATGACCTGAGAAAATTCGAAATTTGATTGGAAGTTTTGAGAGCTAATTTTTCCAAATTTTCATTTTAGATAATAAATTTTGAAAATTCATAAAAAGGTTTTTTTTTGGGAAAAAATATCGAAATTAATTTACACAGAAATTTTAAGGAAATCTTGGAAAAATTTTTTTATCTTCAAAATTTATTTTTTTTTTAATTTTAAAATTTGCTTGGAAGTTTTGAGAGCTAATTTTTCCAAATTTTAATTTTAGATAAAACATTTTGAAAATTCATAAAAAGGTTTTTTTTTTGAAAAAATCGAAATGAATTCAGATATGCAGAAATTTAAAGGAAATCTTGGAATTTTTTTTTATTTTCAAAATTTCAATTTTTCAATCCATAATTTTTTTTTGAAAATTTCTACTAAAATTTCGGCCGGAACAATAGAGTTTTGTTCTGAAAATTCAAAAAAAAAATTGACGAAAAATAATTTTCCCGAGAAAAAAACAACAAACCGGTGGAAATCCACTTCTCATCATAATCAAATTCAACAAAAGTCTCGCAGTTCTCCCATTTCCATCTGTAAATGGATGAACCAAAACAAGTTTATAATGAGCAATGGCCGCTTTTTCAATCGGATCCATATTCAGCGTATTTTCATCATTCAACCATTCAACAAGTTCATCCATTTGTTCAGCCACATATTCTGGTGAAATTGGTGTAAATTTGCCAACATAAACTTGAGTATTTCGAAATCTTCCAGCTTCAATTGGATCTGCATTTCCCAAAACTCTTCGATGCATTTCTAAAATATCATCAATTGATATCCTATCATGATCCATTGATAATAAAGTGCTATTCAAAAATCGAAGAGCTGCATCCATTCCAATCACTTCATTATGCTCTCGAATACTTTTTCCCGGAACAACCATTCCAGATTCAAGAATTGATCGTGTTTGACCCAAAGATAATGTATTTCCTTCGATTGCGACAGTATGATAAACATAGAGAAAATATGTTTCTCGCATCATTCTTCGAAGAGCTGTTGAATGTTGAAGACTTGCGAATTCATCTCGAAGATCGTGCACTTCGTTTAGCATTTTTCGATCGATTGCACTAACGATGGGACTTGTTTTGGCGCGAAGTCTGAAAAATATTTAGATTTGGTGGAATGTTTATTTTCACTACGAATTCCCGATTTTCAAATATAGCTCAATTTTATGAATTTTTTTGAACTTGATATCAAAATTTTAATTTTTTCCAAAATTTTCTACTTCATTATGAGCTTAAAATTGGTTGTTTTTATTGTGAATCTTCTCAAGAATTTTGAAAAAATACTAAAATTTTCGGAATTTCATATCAAGGCTCAGAAATGACTGAAATTTTACTGAAAAATATGAAAATATTGATCCTGGGACTTGGGGGCATTTTTTTCATGAGTGAAAACTTTAAATTCCCAGAGAAATATTCAATTTTTTTCTAGCCCACAACCACTTTTTCCCCCAAAATCTCACCCAATAGCCTCAACATGATTCGGATCATAAACCAATGCTCGAACATAACATTGATCCGCCTCAATCAACATATTTTTCCCCTCTTGAACTTGTCCCATCTCAATCAATATATCCGGAACATTTGGTGCCATCGCATAAGCATGTTCAATTATAATCAATGCCTTCTCCAGATTCCCAGCTTTTCTCGACCTTCTAGCAGCTTTTGCTGCAGCCAATGCTTCTTGCACTTTTGCCGGATCGGTTTGTTCAACTTCAGGTAAATGAACAACTGGAATTGCCATTTTCGATCCAATATCTTTCCATTTTTCATCGTAAATTGGATCGACCAAAAATTGCGGTGCTGATTTTTTCAAATCCGATTTCGCCGATATTAAACCTCCCAAATTCTTGAATTTCTGCACTGGTTTTTCTTTGATCGCATTTTGCAAAAATGAAATTGCCAGTGGAAGAAGAAACTGGCAAATCAGACAAATAGCAAGGCATAAACAAATCACCGATTTTAGACTATATCCTTGTCGAATTATCACTGTTGGATTTTTTGAATTTATCCTATCTTCAAAAGCATCAGATGTTGATTGTGTTCTCCGCCTTTTCACCAACATCACATCTATTCATCGTGAATAAGTTTTAGTTTTTTTTGAAAAAATATATAATTTTTTTGGATATAAGAACCACAAATAAAAAACAATTGTTGATGCACAAAAAAAATAAAAATTCATTATTTACAACAAAAAAAAATACTAGTATAAGCACAAATATCATTCACTCGGATTTTTGAAAATGCGAAAAAATTACTCGTAAACAAATAAATTATATACCAAATTGTTGACGATGTCGGGATTCGTAATATTTAATGAGAGCCTGAAAAAAAGGGCTTTTTTCTGAGGAATAGACGAGAAAACTTCAAAAAAATCTGAATTTCAGTTTTCAGAGGTCGAAAATTGACAATTTCCAGAGTTTTTAGAGGTCAAACACTGAAAAATGCACAGTTTTCATACTGTAAAAAGTTAGCGTGCAATTTTTTATTTTGAAAACCACGATTTTGGCCGAGGTGTGCTAAAAACGGGAAAAACACGTACCGCTTTATCATATTCTCTAATCACATCAAGAGCAACCCATTGAGCAAGATTGCTCTCCATAAACTGCGCCAATCCATATCGAATCCCATCTTGCACGCCAGTTTGTAGAATTTGTGATATTCGATATCCTTTTTCAATTCCACTTACTTTATCATCGATATTTTCACCGTTTTGCTCTTGAACCACCTCATCCACGTCATCATCTACAACTACAATTGGTGAATCAAGCATATCTTCCAGATTTTCAAATGGTGTTTCTTCATGCGGTTCTCCACCAATTTCTGGCAGATTTTCTTCAATCACAACTGGAGTTCTTTGTTTTTTCGGGCGAATTGTAACATTATCAAGGGGTGTTTGTGATCGAGAACTACTCTGAAATTGTTTTTTTGTTGTTGTATCTAAATAAAGAGTTTTCTATTTATTACCGTAGATCGAATTTGATTATTTTCATTAATTGGTTTAGTTTTCGATCTTCCAGGTAATGGTGGAGGTGTTCTCATTTTCTTGTGCGTTTTCTTTGGCAATGCTACAGGAACTTCGTTATTTTCAGATAATGTATTTGATTTTCCCGGTGGATCTTCATTTATTTCATCTTCGACAATTGTTCTCGATGGTGTTGCCGACTTTTGTTTTGATGACATCCTTCTTCGAGTTGAACTTTTTCGTTTCTCCTTCTGCAATGAGAAATAAAGAAGAGGAAGATTGTGAAATATTTTTGAGAAATGAGTATTTAATAAGGTGGTTTAGCGTGGCGTGTTTCATTTTTTAAAAACATATTTCTCATTTCTAAATTGCGACGCATCGCTGGCCAGAAAATGTTGTAAATCGTCAAACCACGCCCAGTTTAGTGTAAATCAATTTTCAAAATTGGCTACGTGAGTTTTCCAAATTTTTGGTAAGATGAAAATATCCCGTTTTGCAAAATCTCACCTCAATTTCTCTCGATTCCACCATAGATGCGTGTTCTCTCCAATAGGCGTCTAATAAATCAGGTGAATCCTAAATTCATCATTTTTCATAGGAGCTCAATTCAAACACTCACCAAATCCGCCTCGTGAACCCATGTATTGTCTGTGGAATCGAAATCTTTCCATTTCACATAAAATTCAAGACCTTTCCTTCGATCCACACGATGCGCAATAATTTGTTCAACTTCAAATGTATCTTCATCATCTTCGTCTATCACGGTCGTTTGCATGTTTCTGAAATGTGCTGGATTTTATTGATTTTCAGGAGACGAAAAAATCGATGAGCCGAGAAAAAAACAAAAATATTTTTTCGTGGAGGGAGTACTGTAGAAAGAGAAATGTGTGGCGTTGCGTCGCCGTGTTTGCAGAGTGAATTTTTACTTTTGTTTTTTGACGTTTTCTTTCTTTTTTCTTTCGGGTTTCAATTTAAGAAGCGTTGCAATGAAATCATAATTGTTTTACAATGATAAAATTTAAATCTTTTTCATTTCTTCCTTCAAAGTTTATTCAAAAAAAAAATTTGAGTGACAATATAAAAAATCATGGAAGCTTAAAGCTTAAAAATAAATCGCTACATCTCTAACACCCTACCAGTCATATTTATGTTTTTCGTACTCTTTCTCCTGTCTCCCCCGACACTCTTCCATTTTCCCGTTTTTTTTCTGTTTCTTTTCGCTCTCCATGCCTTCATCACATGACACACGCTTACCACTTTTTCTCTTACTCTCGCTCGCTTCAGCGGTCGGTCATATGGCATTATAGATTTTCTCTTCTTTCACTTTTAACCTGTACCATTTCTTCATCACGCTTTTTTTCATCATTTTCTCTTTTATATAACATTTTTTTGGTGGTCAATCAAACCCAGACAATTATTTTCCAATAGTTTTTATTTTATAGAAACATATGCTGGCAACAGTTCAAAATTATACACAAGCCCTGATGAATCCACATTCGGGATCCGGCTCGACATTGGCTGGAATTGTTCCAAGTTTCAAAGAAAGAAGACCATTACGTAAGTTTTCATCATTTTTCCGATAACAACAAAAATCGATATTTTTTGTTTGTTTACCAAAAATATTGTTGTTATTTCAACGAAAGAATATTATTTATTGTGAAATCTTTCAAGAACCTTCATTCTGATTTATGATCTTTCTATATCTAACAGACAGTTCAGTTCAACTTTTCAAAAATGAACTTTGAAGACAAAAAAGTGCGTCTAGTTTACAACCTTCTCAATTATATAAAAAAAGTGTCTACAAAGGTCAGAGACGCAGAGTTAGATGACATGTGAACATCAGCTGATTCGATTTTTCTTGCTTTGTGTGCACGTTTTTTTTTTGGTGAAACGTTAGGGAAAAAGAGTTTGGAATAAAAACGGATGGATTACAAAGGACAAGATTTATGATTTGAATTTATTTTTCGAAAAGTTTGATATCAATTAGGTAACATTGTGAAATAGAATAAAATCATATTATTGAAAAAAGTGATTTTTTTGGGAGAAAATCAAAAATACCTCAATTAATATTCAAAAAATACCTCAATTTAACTAGGTAGAACATTTTGTGCAAATAATTTTAAAATTTACACAATTTTTTTCAAATATATACCTTCCTAAAATAATTCTGAAATTTTCCACTATTCAAAGTCTCCCAAAAACCCCAAATTTCTTCCAGATGAACGCAAGAAGGATGTCGAAGAAATCCGTCGTCAACAACCCAACAAAATCCCCGTAATCATCGAGCGATTCGACGGCGAAAGAAGTTTACCATTAATGGATCGTTGCAAATTCTTGGTTCCCGATCATATCACAGTCGCCGAATTGATGTCAATCGTCAGAAGACGACTTCAACTTCATCCACAACAGGCCTTCTTTCTTCTCGTCAACGAACGTTCAATGATTTCGAATTCGACTAATATGAGCGAATTGTATCGAAATGAGAAAGACGAGGATGGTTTCGTCTACATTGTTTATACTTCTCAACCAGCCTTCGGTTCTGCATAAACATCTAACGCATTTTTCCCTTACTTCTTCTTTCAATCAATCAAATTTTGAAAAAATTCGAAAAAAATATGTACATATGATGCTTCTCTACTCATTTTTTTTGTAAAATGTTGTATATTTTTCCCTATACTTTTTGTTTTTGTCAACCACCACCTCTTCTGGCACCATCTTTATCAGGTTTTATAATGAAATGAAATAAATAAACGAGATCTGAACAAAATGGGAACTTTTTTTTAGTGAAATTTTGGGCTTAGGCGTCTTCTTCTGGCCGCGCGAATGGATTTTCGATTTGTTCCATTCCATCAAGCGGGCTTACGACGGTTACAGCGGTTCCTCGAGCAACGATGAGACCGAGAGATCTGGAAAATATTGGTTTTTGGGGATTAGGCTCTCTTTTCAGCGGTTTTGCGTCTAATTTTAAGTTTTTGTTGAGACTTCAAGTTCTAGATTACCCCTGTAAATCTAACTCACCGTGTCTCATCACCAACAACACTTGGATTCTCCGGATCTCTCAAATATTCCACACAATTGTCCAACACCAAATTCAACAACTGATCGTATCCCTTCAACACGCCAGACGCTACAAAAATCATAAGATTTTTTCATTACAAAAACAAACAATTTAGAAAAATCTACCTTCTCTGCCTCCTTGAAATTTGACTCGAATCTTTTTGTCGATGAATCGCGAAAGATCGACAACCGATTCCTTCTTTTTCCGTCCATCATTTCCTTCTTTTTGGTTAGACATCTTGCTGAAAAATCGATTGCAAATTGGGTTTGAAAGAGCGACAAAAAAGGGAAGACAAAAATTATTTTCGAAACAAAAAATTGTCCGGGAGAAGTACACAAACCGCGTCGCTATGAGATATCTTGTGTGTTGTGTTGTGCGTCTTTCATTGTATTCAAAATTTTTGGATGAAAAGCAGACATGTCGTTTTTGCTGAATTCGGGCCCCTACAGCCCGCTCAATTTATCACGGGCCCGGCTGGCCCGGCCTTATGAAAATTTAAAAGCGGCCGGGTTGGCCTCGCCCAAACAAGATTTTTGAATGGACAATTTCTGAATTTTTTTTGATGTTTTCGATGTTGGATTGTATTTATATGAGTGAAAAATCAAATTAGAATGTGATATTTTGCTTATAAAAATAGAAATAAGTAACAAATCGAAAAATAAAATGCAAAAATTTCAAAATTCAAGTGAATTCTCTTCCACGCACATATTATTTTACTATTTTTACTCTTTACAATGTTTGAAATTCATTAAAAATTCCTTTTTGACCACGAAAAACTCATTTTTTCAATGAAAAAAAATTGGAGAAAAAATAAGCGGGCCCCAAAATCGGGCCAGCGAAAGCCGCACATGTTAAAATCGGGCTTCGGCTGAAAAAAGCCCGATTTTTTGTGTTTTCTTCGGGCTGAGCCCGGCCGGCCCGGCCTTCAACGACATGTCTGATGAAAAGTATTTTAGAAGGAGCTCTGTGAGCCTGAAAAGGGGCAAGATTTTGAAAAATCAAATAAATATTTATCGATTATGTATAGAAAAATTATTTAGCCGTCGGTAGATTTTTTCGTTGATTATCTGGCGTCGCAGATCTCGATGTATTTACAGATGCCAATGATTGACTCCTTGTTGATGGTCCAGATTGTCCGGAATTCGAACTCGATGGTCCGGCCGCTCCACTTTCCGGAGAACCTTTGGTTTTCGGTGGCTGAGCTGGTGTTTTTTGAGTTTGTCTAAACTTTTTCCATTGTTTTTGATATTCTTGATATCTTCGCAGCGCTTCTTCTGAATATGCTTTTCGTTTTTGTGCTGCAATTTCAGCAGCTGTCAATGGTCGAGGTTTTGGAGGTGGTGGAGGTGGAGGTGTAGGCTCTCGTGGTGGCTCAGGTTCTGGCTCGGGTTCAGGCTCCGGTTCAGGCTCAGGTTCAGGCTCAGGTTCAGGTGTTGGAGTTCTAGGAGGCTCTGAAAAAGTTAGAAATGAAGTTTTAAAGATTTCAAAAAATACCCAGATTCAGAATTTCTGAAATTCGAGATTTTTCCTACCAAAATTTCACACCAAACAAAATCTTACCCTCTTCTTCTTCCTCCTCTTCATCTGGAATGTCTGGAGTTTCTAGCGCCGGTGAACCTGGCTCACTTTCTGGTTCGGGCTCGGGCTCAGGCTCGGGCTCGGGTTCCGGAGTTGGCAACCGATAAACAGGTTGTGGTGAAGGTGGGGGTGTTGGTGTGGGATCACGAATCCACTCTTCTTCTAAAACACGTGCAAAAAACTATTGCTCACTCAAAAAAAATCAACTAACCTGGCTCATCGGCAAATTCTGCGTGGAATTCTTCGGAATCTGGCTCGAATGGTGGAGGCTACAAAAAATTGTTCCTCTATATTATCGAAAATCTCATCGATACCACGCGCTCCACCGAAATAAACACGCAACGCAGACCGCGTCGCGCCACAACACACACAAATAAGGGAACTATTCAAATTCCCTCCCTTTTTGTGTGTGTTGTGGCGCGGCGCGGTCTGCGTTGCGTGTTGATTTCGGTGGAACCGATGAGATTTTCGATAATATGTAGAAACAAATTATGATTTGACTCACCCTCAATGTCTCAATTTCACCCTCCTCCACTTTGATAGCCTGATCCACAAAATTGTCAAGATCCAAATTTTTGACAACAGTTGTTGGTAGATTGAATTGATCACCAAGATTTTTGACGAGCGCCTTCATTGTGATTTTCTTGCCGCCAAACCATATTGCAACATTTCCGACGTTTTCGATTTTTCGGCCGAAATAGTGGAGTTTTTTGAGCGCATCGGCGGCGATTTCAATGGCGATTGTGGTGAGAGCAAGACCGATTGCGATGTAGATTATTGTGATGAGCATGTAGGATTCACTGAAAAAAATGATAATGAAATATTATCCAAAAAAATCTTGGTCAATAATTTATTAGTACACATTTCCTATTTTAATTTATCATAATTCAGAGTGTGATTTTTTTTACTTCTATGATTTTTAATTCAAAATTGTCAGATTTCTTCTTTTTCAAGTTAAAAAATCACATTATCTGTAGAAATTTTAGAGGATTTTGTTCAGAAACTATTTCTGTAACTTCAAATGTCATAAATTTTTTTCTGAAATGTATCATAGGATAATTTTTCTGGAATTTCAGAGATTTTTCGAACAATTAGGTATTTTTCCAGACTTCATAATCTTCCAAGTTTCCAAATTTATTTAATTTTTCAATTTCGAGTTCCCTTTTTTCTCAAGCTCAAGTTTTTTTGCATAAAGTCCAAATTCCAAAAAAAAAACACAAAATCATCAAAAATTTCAAATTATGATTGACAACTATTCACATTTCAAAAAACCGTTGCACTTTTTTTTCTCTCTTTCAAACCAACCTTCTCGGCACAATATCTCCAAGTCCAATCGAAGTCAATGTAACAAAATTAAAATACACCGCATTGAAAAACGTCATTCCCGGTTCATAAGCCGACAACATAATTCCACCGGCAGCAATGTACAATAAAAATAAAATGAATAATGATAAAGCCTGAGTTTCGCTAAGTTCATCCTCCTCTTCTTCCTCTTCTCCTTCATTTTTTATAATTCCATTATCATCTTCTTCCTCTTCTTCCCCATCAATTTTACCATTTTCTAGAATTTCTTCTTCAATATCCTTGCATTTTCCGTTGGAAAATGTTGGACTTTTCGGATATTTTCGCATTAAATATTTCGAGTTACATAAAAACGCTTTCTTCAGTCTTCTGAAAAATTAATTTTTTTAAAAAGGAAAAACGAAGCTTGCCACATACTTCCAAGTTTTGTTGAAAAAATTGGTTGCCGTAACCATGAGTTCTGATATGAATTTACCCAAATCGGCAATAGCTAAAAGTGTAAATGGAATTCCGATAAGTCCATAGACAATCACAAATAATCTTCCGCCATTTGTGACTGGCGCCACGTTTCCGTAACCGATTGTTGTGATTACTGTGAACGCGAAGAGTAGAGAATCCATAAAACTCCAAACTTGTTCAGTTTGATCTTCGGCTTCATGAACTGAACACAATTTTTTTTGGAATTTTTGGAATCCAGAATGATTTTTCAAAAGTTTTTCGATTTTTACTCTCAAATTTTTTCGTAATTTCTTTCCCAAGCTCTAATTCAAAAAACTTTACTTACATGACTCAACTTCCTCACTATTTGTATATTTGAACCCATCAACATGAGTTAATTGATCGGTCGAAACATGATAACAACTATCAAGTTTGTCCAATAAATCCTGATTCGTCAAACATTCTCCACTTTTTGTTGCGAATTTCGAAATTATATCCTTGACACATTTTCGACTTCGCATTACATTTGTCACTGCTCTTTTTTCTCGAGCATTGTAGTTTCTGGAAAATGACTTGGAGAATCTTGGTTAAAGATTTTCGGCCCGAAAATTCTCCCAAAAAATCCACGTGGCATTCTGATTACACTTATATAAATTACACGGTCTTTCATAAATACGGAAAATTGCGATTTGAAAGAGACGCAGAGTGAGAAACAAAAAACAAGTTTTTCAAATTTTTTCTAGTTCAAAAACTTATCCCGCGCTTGGTTTCGAAACGATAGATCAAATTTTTTTTTGAATTTTCGGATTTTTTTGGATTTTTTCTCGTTTTCTCTGCGCGATTTACCCTGTAAAAGGCTGTGTGAATTTATAGAAGTTGAAAATTTCAAAAACTTCCGAAAAATTTTCTTTAATTTTTCAATTTTTAAACATGAGATCTGGAACTCTTTTTTTGAAATCTGTGAATTCTCTGAAATCCAAGCTGAAATTTTTCAACAACTCCCTGATTTTTCCCACTCACTTTGTCAATTTTTCGATCAGCTCACTTTCATTCTCATTATGCCTTCTCCTCTTTTTATGCCCAATTGTTTGCCCGTAAATAGTTTTATCGATAGTGGCTACAAAAATCTTATTTTTTTTAGCATTTTTTTAAAAATTTTTCACTAAACCTTGCACGGTTGGCGAAATATGAGTCGCATTTTCGGCTGGCACTAGAACTTGTCTAGTCTCCAATTTTCTCATAACCAATGCTCCAAAAATCGCATAGGCTCCAACACTGAATACCATCAAAAAATGAACGAAAAGTGGAGTGGCCTGCAAAAATTGTCACATGATTTTAATTTGAAGTTTGAAAATTCAAACCCTGGAAAGTGCTAGATCCGTTAATAATAGTGTTGGCTTGATTTTCATGTTCTATACAACCAAGGAAAGAAAAAATCTTTGGTTCTCAGTGAAAAAAATATGAGAGACCCGACCGAAATCAAAGGGGCGGCCATTTCAACTCAATGAATAATAAATGATTTCGCAAAAAATATATGAGATTTTTTTTGACTTATTGTTCATATTATTATTATTATTATGTAGATATTAGTAGAAGGAAAAAAAACAAAGAAGGTCAGAGAGCTTCTTTTTTTTCCCTGGGGAAATTTGTTGATTCAATTTGTGTGAGATGATGATGACAATGATCTTCGAGTTGGAGTAACTCGAAAAGGTCTTGCGCCCATAAAAAAAATTGTTTTTGGATTCTTTGTGGAAGAGCAAGAACACGAGATATTTCCGTTTGATGTTTGGAGAGGAGGTAAACAACAAGAAAACTTTGGATTTGGAGTGAGAAATGAATTTGGGTTTTGAATTTTGAGTTTAGGATTAGGAATTTAGGGTTTCAGAACTTTAGAGCTTTTTCTGGAAATTTCAATTTCTGCTCAGCTTTGGATGAAATTTAACAGCTGAAATATATTGCTAGAATATCTGAATTCCAGAAGCCTGAAAACAAAAATTAAAAACTTCATTAACTTTTCATAATTTAGAAGCCAAAATTTCGATGGGATTTACAATTAGGTCTAATTTTAAAATTTCATTTTCCAAACTAAATATCCTTATCCCTCTCTCATAAGATCATTTTCCCTTCAAAAACCAAAGATTCTTCTCCAAAGTGAATTCCAATCCAACACTTTTCCCCATCGTTCCTGCCTGATTCAATTACCGTGCTATTCAACTCAATCAAATGAACTATATGTTTTGTTGTGGCTTGACAAAAAATCACCTTTTTACTGGCTTTCTTCACCCAATCCAACTGCATTTCTCCTTCTTTCGGATTTTGATTTTGATTATTATTTTCGATGAGCGGTGGTTCGTTTCGAGATCGTCGGGATTTTTTCAGACCCTCTTCTTCATCGTTTCTGAAAAAAATCGAATTGAAAATTGAAAAAAAAACATAAATTGCAGATTTTATGGATCAAAATCAAAAATCCTTGTTTGTTCTTCTAAACAAACACGAAAAACCCTGAAATGAAATTTTTTTGTTTTCAATTTTTTCGTGACTGACAAAAGCTGTCTACCGTAACCTGGAACTCTTCACAAACTCATTAAAAACTCAAGAATGAAGAAGTAAATAAAAGTGCGGTAGAACCAGAAGAAAAAACTTGAATATAAAATGAAAAAAAATTTTGGTCGACTCAACAATAGGGCAAGGCAGAAACATAATTTTTAGTGCTCACCACCAGCAAAAAAAAAATTTTCCATTTCTCTTCCCTTCATTTTTTTGTCGAGGTACACACATTTCCGGGAATTTATTTATGAACATAATTTTTGAAAAAAAATTGAAAATTTGAATTTGGAAGACTTGTGAAAGTTGAAGCCAAAATAAAATGAAAACAATTGTGTGCACTTGGCTCAAATGAGCCGAAAACTTTGATTTGCTAATGCATTCTATTCTAGCTTTGGATGAAAATAAAACGAAAAACTTGGTGACCGGAAAAATGTAGTTTTTTTCTACTTAACATGGGACAAAAATGAATTTTTATTCTTAGACCAAAAAGGATCAACATAGACTTTTGAACCCTTGTTGGACCTAATTATTTTTTCCTGGAGAGCAAAGTGTCTAATTTTTCTACTAACTAAAATCGCAACACCCAAAACTTTGCTGGTAGATCAAAAATGTTTTGCGCTGAATTTTTTTGGGTAGTATTATCGAAAATCTCATCGGTACCACGCGCTCCACCGAAATAAACACGCAACGCAGACCGCGTCGCGCCACAACACACACAAAAAAGGGAACAATTCAAATTTCAAATTCCCTCCTTTTTTGTGTGTGTTGTGGCGCGACGCGGTCTGCGTTGCGTGTTTATTTCGGTGGAGCGCGTGGTACTGATGAGATTTTCGATAATAAATTACACGCGTCAAATCAAAAATCAAATTTCCAGAAAAAATTCCATTTTTCACAGACTGCGCAAAAAAAAAACAAACAGAAAATAAACGTAAAAATGCTCTATTTTTCAGAATGAATAATTGGAAAAACAATTGTTCTTATTTTTGTTTGCCTTCTTTTTTTATTTTCCACATTTTTGCATCCTCTTTATTCTCAAAAGTCTCACCTTTTTCGATTTTTGAACATTTTCACTTTCAGCACCATTTTTTTTAGAATTTATGTAATTAGTTAATTAAAGTTCAATAGAAATAAAATGTATCCTTCTCTCTTTTTTTTTGCTCAAATGCAGGTTTTATCCTCCAAAAAAAGACACAAATCAAAAGATGAGCAAAAAAGGGCGGCGCCTGGAGATTTTTGTCCGAAAAATATATACGAAGAAAAGAATATTTGAATAATGTGTTGTATTTTGAGACAAAAAAGTGGATATTTTTTGAGCACCGAATAAAAAATCGAGCACTTCCGCGTGGCACACAAAAGTGCGTCGCAGACTGTTTCCGGCACAATTTTTTGGTGGTGTGGACACTTTTTCGGGACAAACAAATGGAATTTGGAAAAAAATTTTGAAAAAACGGGTCTCTGAACAAAAAAGTGTAATTTTTCTAATAAGAATAATTTTGAAAAAAATTTGAATTCTAAAAATTTCAGGACGAAGTTCCTATTTGACACAGCCCTGAATTGTATGAGAAAGCAATCCTGATTCAAAAGTTCCAACTTATGATTTAGCTAGCTAAGTTCAGCCAACTTCTTTTTTTCTCAACCAAACATTTTTTGAACTTTCAAAGTGCAAATAACTTTTTTTTTTGGAAAAAATTTACAATTTATAAAAAAATCTGTCATTTTCTTCGATTTGAAGGCTTCAAACCAATCAAAAAACGCCAAAAAATGCCCAAAACAACTATAGCTTTATTCGATCCAAAAAAAAATGAAGAATTTTGTCGAGTGGAATAAATTTCCCTACCTTTTCATCTCATTTCTTCGAATCGTACTACGTCTCAAAACCATAGCGGTTTTTTGAAGCAAGAAAAAAATGGCTGTTTCAAAAAATGGGCAAAAAAGAGCATTATTTTAAGATGCCATAAAAATATGAAAAATCAGCCGGATTTCGCGACTCACCTTTTCGTTCGCAGCTTGACGATTCTCATTTTTCAACGGCCGGGAAAAATGAGGTAGAAAACAGAAAAAGAAGAAGAAGAGGAAGAAGAAGGACGGATAAAGATAGATTTGAATCGGATTCATTTTGAAAATATATATTGGAAAAATTAGAAACACATTCGAAACACACATGTTTTGAAACATTTATTTATCTACGAGGAGAAAAACAAAATATGGACTTTGAAGGAAAGATTTTAAAAGATTATTTTCAGAACTGAAATACACCTGGACATTCTCACATTTAGGTTAGCTTAACTTATTTCTGACTTGATAAAATTTGATTTAAAAAACTCGGGAAAAATACGGCACCTTTTTAGCGACGAGGCGACATTTTCATGAAAAATCCATCATTTTACCATACAAATGACTCTTGTTCTCTTTTCATCGAAATTTTCCGCACTGAAAATGTAGCAGGCGTGTCCGAGTGGATAAGAGGATGGGTTGTCATTGTTTTGACCCAAGTTCGATGCCCCTTTCCCGCACCTTTTTTTATTTTTTTCGCACATTCCAAAAACATTTTTCTCGACAAAATAAAATTTAGAAACTTCAAAAAAATTGGAATTTCTAGCCTTCTGATCATAAAAACAATGAAATGATAAATATTCTTTGATTTTCCGATTCCTAGTTTCGCTGCAACGTATTTCCCCCCAGATAGTTCATTTCATAGAAACAAGTTTTACAGTTTGTCAAACAGTTCAACACAATTTGACTGAAGAATAATCGCGCGCATGAGTGATAAATGATAAGAAAAATTCTTGATCTTCCGGCCTAGACCAAATCGTCATCATTGTATTGTTTTTGATGAACACACACAATCAGATCATAGATTATTTGGGGGGAAAGTGGGCAGGTATTACTATCCTATAAATGATGTCACTATCATAAGAAGCATATTTATTGTTGTTTATCTGATTGTCTTTGACTTGACAAGTCTATATAACAGACATTTTTCGATCATTTTTGGGGATGCCGTAAAAAAACATTCAGGTTTTTTGCACTTTTCTTCCTCTCTTGGATAAAAAACTAAATTTCATTGCCATGTTATGTTTAACTTACTGTGTACTTATATTATCTTTATTTTCCCGCCTTTCTTCTTCAATATATTTTCAATCATTCAGATCAAAAACATTGAAAAATGTTCAAAATAACTCCTCGTCGACACGAACTTCTGTCAGTATTTATGATGTCAATGGCGGCAAATTTCATGTTTTTGGGTTATGATGTTCAAACAATGATGGCTGAAAGTGTCATCCATTCAGTTAGCTCAAAACATCCGGAAAGAATCTCAGAATATGCTGGATATTATGGCCAGGCTATTCATTACATCTCATTCGCATTTTTCTCACTTTTCACTGCTTCTTTGCAATTTTACATGTCTTCGAAGTGGATGTTTGTGATTGCTTCTTCGATTTTTGTATTCTCCTATTTATCATATTTCTATATTAATTCTTATATTTTCTATTCGGCTCAATTGATCATGGGATTCGCCTACGCTGGTAAGTTCTTTTGAAAAAACCTGTTTGGTTATCATTTCAACATTTGAACTGTGCCCTCTAGAAGTGATGAAATATGAACTAGAATGATCGTATTTTTCACACCCTTCCGCAACGACGAAACATTTGAGAGACGGTTAGAGAAAAAACAATTGTCAATAGGGCGAACATGCGTTGATTAATAAAATAGTGACCTCAAACTCGCCTAATCACGTTTCAGGGAAAAAGTAGCAAGTTTTGCTTTTTTGAATTTTTAAAAACAATGTTGAAAAACTCACTTTTCCTCCAGTTTTCCTCCTTTTTGAAAATCATTCAACTCAAATTCGCTTCGATATTTCCATCATTTTGCTGACGTTTTTCCTGTAAAATAGAAATAAGTGAAATCTAAATAAGAACTCCAAACTGAAGAAAAAATCAAGAATGTACATTTTTTTATAAAATTACTTTTTGATCACCATAAAACTATCGAAAATCAACTAAACTTGTGTTACTTGTACTAGAAAAAGAGATAAATATGAATTTTACAACAAGTTTCACTCAAATTCATGGAAAAACAACAAAAAATACGTTTTTCGAAAAACAAAAACAATTCTCAGCATTTGCAGATGTAGCTAAATCATATTTTGAGGGTTTTCGTAGGTGAACCGTAGAAAGAACTTGAATCTCCAGCTAAATCGAAGCAACAATTTACCTCAGTGTTTCTGACCGATTTCTCAGCTAAAACACACATACGTTTTAGCTACGGTTTTTTGGCGCGCAAACATGTTTTTTTCGTTTTGTTTTGTTTTTCGACGATTTTCGTGGCCTAAAGCCTAGAAAAATGCTGACTACATATTATATCGTCTACGCGTCAGTGTTTTATCGATGGAGAACGAGTAAGTTCATCTAAAAGTTACGTTTTACGTTGAATTTTTGCAGAAAAACAGTCAGTTTGTTGCGTTTCTCGAAAAAGTGGAAAGTGATGGTGAAATCTTCAATAAATGAGGTAATTCCAACAAAATTTTCAATATTCCACAATGTTTCCCAATTTACAGATGTCAATAACAAGAAAAAAGCCGGATGTCATGAATTCCGACCAATTTGGCTCCTAATAGGTTTTTGGGAAGTTAAACCGCCAGATGGAGTCGCAAATATGCACAAACACCACATCGTCATGTTTTGCAAGCCTACCGCTCTATTGGGAAATTGTAAATGCTGCTTTTCTATCCCATATTCGGCCGGTCCAGGATCCAGAAGCTATCAAACAACTGCGAGAAAAATAAGTGTTTCTGGTGAATAACTGACTATAATTTCATTTCCATATGTTATTGTATGTTTCAATACGAATAAATGTTTTATATTTGCAAGTTTTCTAACTACGCCAAATACAGAAAGAAACCCGCATGAGCAGTATTTCGCAATAAACAGGAAAACAGTTTTCGTAGCTAAAACATGCGTGTGTGTTTCGTAGCTAAAACAGACTTCGGTGTGTGTTTGTAGCTAAACCGCACACTGTTCGTAAATAAAACGCAAGTGTCAAGGGCTGCGATCGGTTGAGCTATGAATTAGCTACATCTGCAAGTGCTGAGAAGAAAATAAAAGTAAAAATGGAAGTGCGCCCTATTGATAAAAAGTTGCATGTTGCGCACTCTTTCAAAAATTTGTGTGTTTCGTCTGCTTTGTTATCAAGGGGGGTTCTTGGAATCAATTTTTTTTTCAAAATCAAAATCAAACAACACAAGCAAATATTTCTGCGATTTTTTTCTCTTCTAATAGTATATTTTTCAGTTTTCAACAATGCCGAAGGAATGTATTTATCCGAACATTCAACCCGCCGAACAATTGACTCAAATAGCGCCCTTGAAACCGGAATCGGCCACACTTCTCTATTTTTCGGCGGAGTTCTCATGTGCATTCTTTTCTACTTCGTTCCCCACAATTTCGACGGGCATTTCCTGAACTTTGATGAGAATATAGTTCGCGTCATATTCTTGTCAATCATGGCAATTTCATCAGTAGCTGTATTGATCTTCTCATTTCTCCCAACAAAACAATACGATTCAATTGCCCTGAATACCGAAAGAATCTCACCATCCATCAAGAAACAATTCAGTGAGTCTTCGAATATTCGAGGGAACTTTAAAACAAAATTGTGTTTCAGAGCGATTCGGCCACGCTTTGGGTCATTTGAACACGTTGCTTTTGATCTTTACATATTGCTATATGGGTTTTATGGTTTCATTCATGTATGGAATTTATCCAACATCGTTGAGTTTTACTGAACAAACAGCTGGAGATGTTTATATTATTGCGATTTATCTGCTTTCTTCGGGATGTGCAGCTTTTACAAGTGAGTTAGGAAGTGGAATTCTGAAGTTAAGTCGAAATTCTGAAGTTCAGAAGAACACAGTTGAAATCGCAGTAAATTCAAAATAGTTTAGGGCTGATTCACAAACGAAAAAAATGTTTAAAATTTTTTTTAACATCGAAAAATCAATTCACGAAAAGTCAAAAAATGTCGAAAAAACATTGTAGGTCAAAATTAGTTTTTCGAGTTTTTCAGCCAAAAATGGTGACAAATCGATATTTTCAAGCTTCTGGAGCAATTTCTGATTAAAATTGACCTTGGAATTCACTTTTCAGAAGTTTTTGCTAATTTTTCGTAAAAAATTTTTTTTTTAATTTTGAGGAATTTCGAAAAAATTCATAAAATAAAGCAAAATAGGGTTCTCGAAGCTTATTTTCATCAGAAATTACTCCAGAAGCTTCAAAAATATTGATTTTTCATCATTTTTGGCTGAAAAACTCGAAAAACTAATTTTGACCTACAATGTTTTTCCGACATTTTTTTCGTTCGTGAATCAGCCCTTTTGAAAAATCTGAATTCAGTGTGTATTTTACTACCTCAAGACCTCTGAATTTTCTGGTAGATCAAAAATATTTTTCTCTAATGGGGCTATTCATGTATTTTCTCAGCATGTTGAGAAAACAGGAGAAATGCGGAGGAAATACATTTTCTCCGCTTTTTTCGTATTTTCTCAGCCTACCTGAATAGGTTTTCTCCGCTTTTCTCCCGTTTTCTCAGCGTTGAAAAATAACATGAATAGCCCCATAAATCTCTCACTTTTGCGTTGAATTTCGACCTCAAATCAGTAAAATTTTCGGAAAACATTGAAAAATTGATGAATTCTAGATAATTTTCGAAAAAAAAACGATTTTCGGGATTTCTGAGAAAAAACTGCAGAATTATCATTCAAAACCCCCTGAAAAATTCCAATTCCAATTCCCATCTTTTTTCCAGGCACAATCCTCATCCGCCCAATGATCAAACGACTTCACAAATACAAATTAATCGTTCCCATGACAATCCACGTCCTCGCAATGCTCTCCGTCTTCGTTTTGATCTACCTTTCTGTTCCCAATACCGCCACCCAAAAACCAACAGAAAATGTCCAAGTTCTGCTATCACCTTGTCGAAAACTATCAATAATCATCGGCTTCCTTTTGGGTCTCGCTGATTTCACAATCACAATGTCTCGAAGTGTCATCTGCCAGATTGCTGTTCCCGAATATCGTGCCGAATTATTCAGTTTGACTCGATGTTATCAATGTCTCGCATCCTGTTTCATTCTCTTCATCTCTCCATATCTCACAGTCTTTTCATGGATCATAATTCTATTCATCGGATTATTCCTCGGAACTTCGGCCATCTTCACAGTACTTTATCGAACTCCCACAATTTCAATCGCTTCTCCAATTGAACCACTCAAAGAAGTTGAAGATGTTGTATGTGTTGCCTAGACTTTAGTTTTCATAGTATCTCAATATAATTACGGGTATAATTGACGATGCTTCAATGAACAAAATAAAATAATTTAATCTTTATTAAATTGGTTTCAAAACAAAACAAAAAAACAACCCGACTAGATGAAAAATTCCTTTTTAAAAAATCAAATTCTCGTCACTTCTTCGCCATGATGATAAATAATTGGTGGAGGTGGAGGCGGGGTGAAATCAGCTAATATCGTGTTGGCAAAATGGCAAACTTGTGGTGAGGGATCGTGATCAGCGACATACGAAATATGCTTGCCGACACGTGGATTTTCAAAAAGTTGAATAGCTTTGAGAGCTCCGAGGCGAGCTTCAGCTGAATCAGCTTCCAGAAGACAAAGATATGACGATAAAAGATCGGATTGAAGATGACCGCGGGCATTTGATAAGTAACGTTCTGCAAAAATTTATTTTTTCTTTTAAAAAAAGTTTCTGAAATTACAGTAACCCGCAAGATCAAATCTCAAATTCCAAACAAGTTTTTTTTTGAATAGAAAAAATTCGATCATTAAAACTACAGTAGTCCACACAATCAAAAATCAAAGACCAATTTTCTTTTGTTTATGGTCATAGTAGTAATAATGAAAAATGTGAAAGAAGAAAAACAACCAACCTATAATTTGAGCAATTCGTGGATCACCTCGAGCCAAAAGTAAACCGAGATGTTTGAGCGATTCGAGAGGTGGGACAATTGGAACAATTGCGAGACGATCAACGACTTGTGCAACTTTTGACACTTGTTCAGTGTCCAAAAGGGTAATCATCCAGGCTGAAATAAATTTGCGGGGTAAATTTTAGATAATTTTCAAGAATTTTTCCCAGCTTTGTAATTTGCCAGTCATTAGGAACACATTTTTTCTACTACACCATTTTCTGCTTCTTAAAAAATTCCAGGCCTTTTTAAGCCGAAAATCATGAAAAAAAGTGGAATTCAAGCCCGAAATATTGAAAAATGGTGGAATTGAAAAAACAGATTTGATAATAAATTATATTAAAATTATGAAACGTATTTTTTTTTGTTTTTGAAATTTTAGAAATTTGAGTCTAAATGGGCCTATGCAGAATAATATTTTTTTATTTAAAAAAAAAATATTTTTCCTATGCAGAAAAATGTCGAAAAAACAAAATAAACAGTTTATTATTTTTGAGTAGAGACAATGTGAAATTGAGAGAGCGCAGACAGTTTTTTGTATTTTTTGTGCGAAAAATCAATTTGTCTGTCTGCACTCTCTCAATTTTACGTTGTCTCTACTCAAAAATAATAAACTGTATATTTTGTTTTTCGCATTTTTCTGCATAGGAAAATTATGTTTTTTATTACAAAATATTATTTTGCATAGGGCCATTATGAAAGTTTTTGGGATTTTTTTCAAAATTATACAGGAAATCTATAAAATTGTATTGAAATTTCTAACTGAAAAATCTACAAACATGAAGAAATTTTTGAAATTATGTGAAAATTTTAAATTTAACCCTCTCTCCAAAAACTCACCATCATGTCCCAAATTCTCAATATACGGTTCAAAATGTCGTCCTTTGAAAACGCCAACAAAATGGAAAACCGTTGTAAATGTATCATCGGAATCATTGAGCAATCGAATAATTGATTCGGCGACTCGACTAACCAAATGCGGATACATTTTTTCGGTAATATGAGCAATTTGTAGTCGAATTTGTGTTTTGAGCTTATCTTTTGGCACAATTAATGAGCAATTAAGTGGATAACACGTTGACAACCAAATCTCTTGAATCTCTTGACATGCCTCAATATCAGTCAAAACATTCGAAATATTCGGCGTGGCTGATGATGACGTGGCAATTCGCAGTAAATCATCCAAAGTTACCATTTCAACTTCCAACTTTTTCAACATTTCCGAAACTGTGAAAACCAACGGTGAATCGAGTGGCGATTTTTCGAGGGTATCCAAGAATTTTTGCACTCGTTTCAAATGATATTGAAGACATCGATCGATTTCGGATGTTGTTTCAGTGGTTTCTTTCGTTTTTCTTTCGGGTGTTTGCCAAAATTGATCATTTTCTAGGTACATTTTCTCAATTTCGATTGGATCCATCATTGCCCCGAGCGATTTTCGGCGATCTTTGAGGTTTTTGTAGCGAGCAGATGGAGTTTCGCCGTATGGGGAGTAGTTTTGTCGAATCGAATCGATGCCACTATCATTTTCAGAGCTGTAAAAATGGAATGAAAATTGAAAGCTGAAGAAATCCAGTAAAAAGTTATCTCCTGAATTCAGAATTTTAAAAATGAGCGAGAAAATTTCATTAAAATCGTGATAAAATCAAAAAAGATTGGAAATCCGGGAAATTCCCAGGAATTTTATTATGACCTCAAAATTTTAATGGGGTGATTCAGGTCGAAAAAAAACTTTAAAAAAAAACGTTTTCAACAAAAATTTTCGCTTCAGAAAATTTCAAAAAACTATATTTTTTTCCTATTTTTTTAAACATTGTTTCATTGAAACATTTTCGCTGCGAGATATTTTTCATTTTTGTGTGGAAAAAATAGGGTTTTTTAACACTTTCTGAATCGAAAATTTTTGTTAAAAAAAACTTTTTTCTTAGTTTTTTTTCGACCTGAATCATCCCATAATCAAACATACTTCAAAAAATCCCCGAACAAGGCTCGGCCAAAATCGTGGTTTCCACAATAAAAAATTGTACGCTGACTTTTTACAGTTCAAAAATTGTGAATTTTTCAGTTTTTGTCCTCTAAAAATTGTTATTTTTCAATTTTTGACCTCTAAAAACTGAAATTAAGATTTTTCAAAAAAATTGTACTCTGGCCAGCCACGGCTTGGCCGAGGTGTTTCCCCGAATAAAAACTACTCACTGTCCATCATTTGCAATCAAAACATTATCATCCAATTCATCCGATGCACAAGTTCTAATCGATCTCGGCGATCCTCCCGACAATATTCTCTTCTTCTGTTTCGTCTTCATAAAACCATTCCACTGCACCAACAAATCAACAAGATTTCCAAGTTCATCATATTCTTTCAACAATTTTCGACTTTTACCCAACACATTATCAATCATATTTTCCTCAATTTTCTGATCAACAACAAAACTGCTCGAATTCTCTCGGCTTCCTCCATCAATTCCACCCAATTGCGCCAAACTCTGACTTCTTTTTCCTGCCAATAATCCCTGTTTCATGCTAAAATTGTTGTTATTATTGTTATTGGATGTTCGAGCTGGAAGTGTTCCTGTTGACATCGCTTCGACTGATGGAATTGTTTTGGCAACATCGAAATATATCGAATCGAGCATATTTGTCGAATTTCTCCATTGTTCTTTCATCGCAACACGAGCTGCCGAGCCACGTTTCTTTTCTCGAAGTGCGACACGTGGTTTTGTTCGATCCATTGTTGAATCAGATATCACTTTTGGTTTTGTCGATGTTTTTGAAGCCAATAATGGTCTGAAAAATAATATTTTTATTGATGAATTTCAATTAAACAACTCACAGCCACGTGACAACCATTTGCAATTTGATTGTTCCCATCGAATTCAAATTCATTGTTACCAATTGTGGTTGTGACGAAAATAATTGGCATGGGTCGAATGATCTCGAATTTAGCGATTTTGATTTGAAAAATCTGCATTCGGAAACTTTGACATCGATGGAACAATCGGGCGAGCATGTCAGGACGACTTGATCTTTTTCCCATTTTTGACTTCGATCATCTTGCGTTTTTCCGCGTGTTTTCCATTTTTGTGTGCCGTGTTTGATTTGGACTTCGAACACGTCGCCGGGTGTGATTCGAGCGAAACCGACAATGGCTGGAAAAACATGTTTTTATTTGCGTTTTTGACTTTTCGGCAGTTTTTCGGAAAAAAAAATAAGTTGCGCGTAAGGTTCGGTGTTTGTCTGCAAAACCCGCAAACACTCGCTGCATACCGTATTTCTGGGGAGAAAAAAATTAATTTAATTTTTGGGATTTTTCGGGTTTTCGTGCAAAATATCGCATAGTTTTGAATCCTAAAGGAATTGCTGACACTGTGAAATTTCAGAGAGAACTCTAGGTTTTCAAATTTTGCTGTTTCTCTCTCTAAACACCCAAAAACCCGTAGAAAATCTCACCTTTAACTTCCACGACAACCCGTCCCATCATATTAGCCAATTCCAAATCAACAGCCGTACTTCCACTTGCCGACACATCTTTTCCAGTGAAAGCGGCTCGCAATTCCGACAAACTCGACGATTTGGCTTTCATCGTCGAATATTGTCCAATTTTCCAATTCTCATACAATTTATTGATTCTTTGTAATCGAGTTGTATAAAGTAACAAATTCTCTTCGCACAACAATAGTTCCTAGAAAATTAAAAATGAGATATTATTTTTTAAAGCATGAAGGAAAAAGAAGCGAATTTTCTCATTTTATTATATGAAAAAACCGTTTTCTTATACTGTTTGCGTTGCGCGGAGAAAGCATTGTTTATTCAAAAAAAAAAATAGAAAACGATTGAATATTCATGGAAAATTACACATACAAGTATTTTCTAAAAGTGTCATTTTTGGGCGCAACTAATAAACATATAAATGATTGGATTCAAGTAGAAAATAGTGAAAACTGAATGAGTGAGAAAAAAAAGTGAAATGCGTAAAAGTCACTTGAAATTTTTAAAGTGTTTAGAGATTTATTCATTTTTCCGGTGAAGATTTTCAAGAAAATCAATGCAAAATCGAACGAAAAGGTGACACATAAAGGAAAGAACGAAAGAAATAAAATGAACAGCTTTTCGGTTGCGGTTCACGTGTAAATATTGCGCGTGCATCGTAATTTGACGCGAGCGCGCGCGCGGGGAAAAATCGATTAAAAAAAACTCACATCGTTATACGGTTTCATTTGATCTCCGCCAATTTGATTGGTTTCGAGATCGATTTTGAGGCGTGCAATTTCAGATTGATAGTGGGTTATAAAGTTTCTGTAAAGAAAAAAGGTTGAAGTTTTTAAAATCGGGAAATGGAATTTCCAAAGGGTTGGTGTGTCTAATGCTGCGTCCAATGCAAAAAAACGCGTGAAAAATCTCTATTTTTGAAAGAAACATACAGTAAATCAACGAGATATCGATCGAAAAACACATGTTCCTTTGAAATTTACTACGGTATGTGCAAACACGGCGACGAAATATTGAACATACCGTAGTAAATTTCAAAGGAACACGTTTGTCGCGCGTTTTTACGCGTTTTTTTTTTGCATTGGACGCAGCATAACCGAATAATCTTTTTCTGTAATTTCGGTAATTGACCCAAGAGATAATCATTCCAGAAATCCTAGAGTATACAACTCGTCCAAAATATAGTTATGACGTGGCAAAGTTGCAACCACTCTCAGAAAAATATTGCCACGTCATAACTATATATTATACTCTAGGATTTCTGGAATAATTATCTCTTCTGCCCAAGTTACAGTAAAAGATCCTTCAGTGATTCCTTGCTAGAAAAAGATCCCAAAAAACTCACTTGAACCCTTTTTGAAGTGTTTGAAACACAATATCGGTTCGTTTAAGGCCTTGGACAGAAGCCCCTCCACCAGGCCCCGCCATCATTCGTTGATTCGTTGTTCCAGATTTCTGCAAAAATCAAATTTTGATTTTTTTTGAAAAAGAACTGTACTACAAGTGAAAAAAAACGATGAGCACAATCATAGGAACATCGGACGAACAAGATCCAGTTCGTCCATTTATTTGTTAATCGTATACGATTAACACCCTGCCACTTAAAAAAAGTTGTAGTAGGGCAAAAGAAGAAAAAAGCATAGAGAAAAGAAGAAAGAACATGTCGGATTATCATAAAATTATGTTCGAATTGGTCTGGAATTATTAGTATAGTAGTGCGTGCAACTTGAAAAGTAAATATATACATAAAGTTTTACGATGGGAAAAAAGATACTGTAGGCTGGAAATCTGGAATTTTCAGAATTAGGTTTCGGCCTCTTCTAATTTAGCAGAACTTGGAGATTTTTGAGAAAATTCTGATGAAATTTTTGTTTTTTCAAAATTCCCAAGTTTATCTTCAAAGTCCCAACTAAAAAAAAGTTTTCCCAATCAATCAAAAACTTTCTCCAAAACCAATTATTTCCAGTATCTTCTCTGATAGAAAAAAAAACAATTTTCCCGGAAAAAATCAGGTCGCAAACGCGCCTGACCTGAAATGAGATGATTCCCCGATTTTTTCTTCTGTGAGACCAAAAAAAACCTTGCGGAGAAAATATGAAAAACATGAATAAATCTAGCAATAAATGTGTAATAGCTTCTACTTATAACATTTTGAGACTTACAAAAAAAACGTATAAAATAAGATGATGAGAAAGATGGTAGAAGATCAGGTTTTAGTTTTAGTTTCTTGGCAGATGAGAAAAAAAAAACAACAATACCACCGATCGATAATTATATGTGCATACAACAAAAGGTGGAGGTAAAGGCTGGTAGAAAATAGGAAGGCCGACGGAAGGTCATGCATGACTGAACGGACCAGGTGACAATCCGAGCATTTATATAAACAATATACATAAATACCGTCTTCTTTTCTAATTACGAGAAAAAAGAGAAAGGGCGTATGATCTTTGAAGAGAAAAAAGTGGAAAACTTGTTTATCACTTTGAAATTACTACCTAATTATTGAACCCTAGTTGGTAAACAACTTGAGGAAAAAATCAAAATAAGTATTGTCATTCCGAAAATAAAAGAACCCCCGTTTGAATTGGCGCTCACGTACAGTAGACTAAAAATGACGTGACACATGCACATCAAACTGGTTGGCAAATAGCCAACGTGTAAATTTCGCATTTTATTTTTCAAATAGACTCCACAATTTTGCGAAGTCTACTGTAGTCTTGGTTTTCTAGGCCATTTTGGTTATTTTCCAAGGTTCTTATTTTTTTCGGATTGACAATAAGTAAACTATTTTTGATCCTCTTTAGACATGGAACACATCTATCAAATTCAAAATCCAATATTTCAATTCGATATTTTTTTGAAACGTAAAAAATTTGGTTTTTAGAAATGGGAGAAATTTCCAAAAAAAAAAATAACTCGGCTTCAAAATTTTCATGAATTTTTTAAGTCGACATTCAGATCTACCTGCACAAAATCTACAAAACTTTGAAGCTCGAATCTACAGTATCCCAAGTACTACAATATTCAAAGTTTTACTCTCGTACAGTATTCCCTTTGTAAATTATCAGCCGGTATCAAGAATATTTGAAAATTTGTTCTACAGTAACTTGTGAGACTCTAGAAATTACTGTAGATTGAAATCCTAGGAAACAATATTTTTTTCAAAATTACCGGATAATATTCAAATTACAAAAAAGGTTTCAAAAAATGCCCAACCTGTTTAACAATCGTATCATAATCCGTAAACTGATTATTCATCGAATTTTGCTGATTATCCATCAAATGATACTTCGCTGCGCGAGTATCGTTGAGCACGCGATTTTTCCAAGCTCGCAAATCTCCTGTAAAAATCCAAAAACAATAATTGTTGCTCTTTTTTTTGTCAAGCGGGAAGCTTTGTTATTTGTTCAAACATGCTCTCGGCATGTAGAAGAAGAAAAATAAGAAAAAGACAAAAAAGAAGAGAGGAAAACAAACAATATATAGCAATAATAATAATAAAATAAAATTATTATTGTTATATTTGAATATTTTTTCTAGGACACATTTGGACAAATTATGAGAAAAAAAAACTATACGATGACTCATAATTTTCTTCCAAAAAATAAACAAAACCGTACCTTTCATTATGTATAATATGTCCAAATTGTGCAGCTCTTCCAACAGTCGATGGCATTTCAAAATATTGATTTGATCTTGGTGGTTCAGGCATTCCTATAAAAATGAGGAGGCAAAATAAGGGGATATAATAAATAAATACATTCAACTGCACATATGACCTTGTGAAATCACAACACCAAAAAAAAAGTACGTTAGCCCCTTTTTAGGTCAATCATTTTTCATCATTCGGTTTTGTTTTGAGGAGGGAAAGAGGATAAATTAGAAAATCACTAAAGTCAAGAACTTTGTTGAACTGAAGGCTGAAGAAGTTCAAAGATTGATGTAGTTCAGAACTTTGTAATCTAATTTTTTTGAAATAAAAACATTAAAAAATTTTGGAAAATTTTTTTGGAATTTCTCATTTTTGAGGAGGAAATGAAAAGGTTTTTTCTAATTTTCAGAAATTTTGCAAGCGGAATCTTTTATTTTTTCTGGGCTGTCATAAAATTTTGATCAAGTTTTCTTCCTTCAAAACTTCACAAACCGTAAAAATTAGAAAAGCTATTAAAAATCACAGTGTTTCGAAAAATCTTCCAAAATTTTTTTTAATTTTCAGAAAAATTTTTCAAGCTGAATATTAGATTTTTCCTGGGCTGTCGAAAAAAAAATCAAAAATTTAGAAAACTTTGAAAATTTCATATAACTTCCTACAGATCAGAAAAAAAATGAAGCTGTCAAAAATCTTTTCAAAATTATGTTCAAGAGTTTCGAAAACCCGATTTTTTCAGCTAAAAATAGAAAAAGCTATAAAAAAATCACAGTGTTCCGAAAAATATTCCAAAAATTTCTCAATTTTAGAAATTAATTCCAGCTCTTCATAATTTGTAAAATTTTTATGGTCCACCCAAATTCTCAAATTTAGAAAAAAAAAATTTGAAAGATTTTTCGAAAAATCTTCCAAATTTTTTTTTAGTTTCAAAAATTTTATCCAGTTCTTCATAATTTGTGAAATTATTATGGTACACCCAAATTCTCAAATTTCCTATTCCCATCCTTCTTCAAAAAATCCCGTACCAATTTTCCCACCAAAAAAAAAGTGCTCACCATAATTCCTGGGCAATGTCGACGCATGCATTTGTTGTTCAGAAGTTGTATACGGACGTAACTATAAAAAAATGGACACAATTTTATTAAAAACTAATAAAAAATAGTGAGGTGACTCATGTTTTTCTTCTCCTGTTGTGTCTCAAAAAAAAAACAGAGACCCCGATAAGAAATATTTGGGCTGGCTGATAAGCAAAAAGTTTCAAAATAATGTTCTATTTTTTTTTCTGGGTTGCCATGACTAATCTAGTAGGATTACCTCATTCGATCGATATAAATCCGCATCAGTTTCAAGGCTCGCATAAAAATGCGACAATTTCTTTTTTTCATTTTTCGACATTGTCGGCGGAACTTTTACAAAAAGATAGATAACAATACAAAAATGAATAAAATTTTATAATGTGAGAACGAAAAAAAGTGACAGAAAATAATGCTATTCAAATATTACTAATCGATTATTCAATTCTTTTTTGTTTATTGTATTGTTCACATTTTTTGGGTGGGAGGGCGCAGTAAAATTTTGACAACGTGCAAGGGCTCTCATCTTTTTTCTGTTTATTTTTGATAAATTGAATATGTGTTGTTTGAAGTTTGTATTGGATTTTGCACAGAATTTTAAGAAAAAACATGATGGATCAGAATTCATGTCTAAATAGGATCAGAATTTTCTAAAATTAAAAAATTCTATATCAAAAAATATTTCTGGAAGTTTAAAAATTTCTACTGCTTTTGAAAATTTTGAAAAAAAATCTTCGGAACTTATGGAAACTAAATTTATCTGAGAAAACAGTTTTTGGATTTTTTTTTCCAGAGAAAAAATATTGGTTTAGATAATTCTAAACTTAAAAATTGTTGGATCATCTTGAAATTATTTGATTTTGCTTCTGAAGACATCTGGAGTCAACTTCAAACTTCGGAAAAACAAGTATAAAATTTCAATAAAATTCCAAAATGAAGTTTTTTTTAATCTAAAAAATTTTTTGAATTACAGTAACCCACAAAACTCAACTCACTTCAAATTTTCAGCCATTTTCCAATTTCAAATTTTTAAAAATAACCAAAAATAAAATTAAGGTCACGTTTTCACGCAATTTTTTTCCAATTTCAAAATTTTCCCCCAAAAATCCAACTAACCCATGCAACTCTGGCCAAACTCGACATTTTCGATGTTTTTCTTGTGATATTATTCGTTTTTCTATGATGATTTGGCAATGTTAAATTGGGATTCTTCACAAAAATCGATTGTGGATGTGGATTGAAACAGACTGCGCCTTTTGGTGGTTGTGGAGCTGAATGTTTTGGTGGCGGAGGCGGTGGAGGTGGAGCGGGAAAACGGTCGAGCGATCGATTTTTGGTGAGCTTATCGCGAAAATCTATTGCGTCATAGGTTCGAATGTTTGACGAGTGGCGGCGGATCACTTCTGGAAAATAGAAAAGTTTGGCTAATTCGGGATTTGTTTGGGAAAATTTTAAACTAATTTTTGGTTGGAAAATCTAAAAATTAAAAAAAAAAAATCTCCCACTCAAAAAATGTATCAAAAAAAATCCAAAAAAGACAGAAAAACCTATCAAATCAAGTTTTTTCCTTTTCTCCCAACAAATTTTCAACACAACATGAGAACGGTTAGAGATGAAGGTTAAAGATATCATTTTCTTCTACTATTTCTTCGTGGCAGCAGAATTTAGATAGGCAAAATGCAAAAAAAAACCACTTTGGTTGTTCGATTCGATTACAACTGATAGATACTTTTGTATTACAACCATAGTTGCAACAAAAAACGAAATCTTTCTGTTCTTTTTATATTTTTTTTCCAACAAAAAGTGTGTAGATTTACGAGACGCTTTAAAGGTACATGTGGGAGATGGTGTGGGTCTCGAAGCAAACTGACAGTAACCAAACTCCATTTCAAGTTTTTTTTTGGGATTTTCCCTCTTTTCTCGAAGTACAACAAGAAAACCGTAAATGCACATTATCTTGAAATCGGACGATATTTTCACTCACCCACTGAACATTGTGCCGCACACATTCGATTATGGAATAATATTCAACCACGTTGTGTCTGAAAATAAGAGAAATTTTCATTTCAAAATAGAAAAAGGTGGGGAAAAAAAGAATCAGGATTGAAAAATCCTAAAAATTAATAATGACGTGGAAATTTCTACACTATTTATTACAAAATTTTTTCCCCATAGGTTTCATTCTGAAATTTTACAAAAATCCAATCGCAAAACCTCGTACAAAAATGTTTACAACAACAAATTCAAAAATCAATAAATTTCCCGGCTCATATCCGCCATCATTTTTGGCTGGCTGGCTCGTTCAGCAGCCAACAAAAACAGTTTTATGCTCAAGTGAGAGGAAAAGATATCGAAATCTGCCTGCGCAAAATAAATAAAAATGTGTGGTGCGCGATTTCGTCAAAAAATGGACAGACAGCAGCAGCAGCTCAGCTCTTTGTTGTCCGAACCAGTATCGGATAAAAAAAATGGGTTTGAGAGAGCAAAAGATAATTTTGCACACTTGACGGCTTTTTGATGATATAACACTTCAGATGGATAAAAGTTTCCGGTTGATTAGATATTTTATAGTTTCATTTGGTAAATATTATAGGGAATTCTTAATTTGAGGGTATGACGTGGAAAAGATGAAAACATTTTTTTTAAAAATTGAGATTTGGTGAAAAAAATTAATTCAAGATGTTCAGTGTTTGCGGAAATTCTAACTTACAGTACTTCGTGACTAAACTTGGTCAAGAAACTAAAAAACTCGTGTAAAGTCAAAAAAAAAATTGAAAATATTTGAAAAAAAATCAAAAATGACATCAAACTACAAAAATCAAAAAAATACCCGCTGGTAGATCAAATATATTTCTATTTTCTCAATTCTTCCCAAAAACAAAAAATTCAGAAAACAAGAGCCTGGGTTGAATAAACAATAGTGATAAGTGTAAGTTGACAGCCAATACAAAAATAGGTCACGCCAAACACCATCAAAAGAGACGCAGACACAATATTTAGTTGTACTTATTATTTATTCCGAAGGCAAATAAAATGAAATAATATAAAAAGTCATCTGAAGGGTACTCATTCATATATTTCTATTTTTTCTTGTTGGCGGCGGCGGCAAAACGAATTTGTTGTGTGTTGAAACTAGTTCAATTGAATTCTGACAACACGAAACGATAAGCATCTGAGAAGAATGAAAATCTCGAAATTTTATTAATGTCAAAGGAAATAATAAAAAACATGACATTTTTAGACAAAAATCTTGAGAACTACTTAGGAATTAATGTAAGCAAAAGATCATGACAAACATAAATCAGAAGGAGCTGAAAATTATAGTGAAGTTATAAATTTTCTCACAGATCTGCATTTGGATAGATTCCAGTTGGAGTGTTGCGGATTTTTTGTGGTCTCGCAATAGTTATACTTTCCAAACTTGTGGGCGTTGAAAATGGATAAATTCTTCTGGAAAATTAAAGATTAGGAGATTTTTTGAGAAAACTCCTCACTCTTTACAAATAACACCATTTTCCGTCTCAAAATTCGTGCAAACTCTTTTATACCGTTTTTTCGATTCAATCACAATACCTTGCGTCGTCGGAACAGAATCATAGGTTCTTTTGACTTGGCGAGGTTGACCACTTGTAGAGGGGACAAAATCACTGAAAAAATTTGAATTTAATAAATCAAAAATCTGAAAATAACTAACATTGATACATTTGTAGGTTGTTCTTCTACAGGAACTTTGATGAAAACCCGTTTATCGGCAGCTCGCTGAATTTCCCTCGTATATGTTGGCGATGCTCCGAGTGTACTAACATAAATCGACTTCGGTTTTACGTGTGTGGCTGTGGATGTGGATGGTGTGATCTCAATTCGCTCAGGTTTCACGTCAACAAGATCTTCCTCATTTGATGGTATCAACAATGATTCTGGTTTCACTTCAGCGCTCAAACCACTGAAAAAAAAAACATATTGTTAATAACGGGAAAACAAATTGATGTGAGTCTTGAACTAACATTTCATTGAATTGTTCTTGCTTCACATCTGGTGGCTGCATCAAATATTTCGATAGATCGAAACCTTCGTCTGGATCAAGTGTTTCAGCATTTGGTCTGAAAAAAAAGAAAAATATTCTACCCAGACCTGGGAAATTTTTCGTTTTACGGTTTTTACGGCTCGAAAAATCGTAAAATAATTCGTAAAACAAATAAAATTAAAACTTCAAAGAAAACACAGATTTTTTCAAATAGAATCCTAATTAAATTATTTTTTTGGTGGATATGAGGAATTAAATTGTTTAAATGATGTTGGAGTTACGCTAAGTTACCAACTTCCAAATTTTAAAGAATATTTGTTGATGTATTCAGGGAAAAGGTTGAGTAACAAAATTTTACGATTTTTTCGGTATTTTACGGTTTTCTAGAACCGTAAAATACCCATTTTACGTTTTACGGTGCCACGTAAAAAATTCCCAGGTCTGATTCTACCATTGAAAAAATCAAAACTCACAAAACAGGAGCAGAAGCTGGAGCTGGATTAGATGTTTGAATAATATAAGATTGAGTAACTGATACAATTGCATTAGAAGTGTCTATATTTTTTCTCTTGATAACTGGAGTTTTCACCGCTTGATGAATATTCATCAATAAACCTTGATTAATCGCAATTGGCTCAAGCTCATTATATTTATCAGTATAACCTCGTCCTCTAAAAGTTTCCAACGATGCCGCAATCATCAAATTATTATTAAATTGCTTCAATGGCAATTTACTTTCATTCCGTATATATTTTCCATTCGCACCGAAATATTGTTGAACATCAATTGCACACGGAGGAGGTGTGATGAATGTCTTGGCAACATCGTATAAAAATGCGAATCGTTTTGAATACACTTTCCACCAATTGAATGGATGTGTTGCTGGTCGTTGTTTTTTGACGATACTTTGGAAATTATACATTTCTACATCGATTTTGGATTTCTTTTCGCGGTTTGACAATCTTGATCCAATACTTGAATTCACTAAAAACATCGAATGATATGAATTTACTGGTTATAAAACAACATACTGATATAGTTTTTGGTGAATTCTGCAAGTTCCTGCCATTTATCATAACTCAAAATATCGGTTTCCAGAGAATAACGCGGATCAAGGAAAGTCGCAAGATCATAAATTCCATTTTGATAACCGTGCAATAATGGATCAAGAGTTTTCAAAAACGCAGCCTCCAATTGTTTACTCAAAGTTTCATTGCCCAAATCTCTGAATTATCACTGGCAAAATACGATTGGCGTGCTGCAGGCCTACTGCAGATCTATAAGCAATGAGTGCCTGCTGCGCGTCTGCTGCAGCTTTCAAAAAAATTCGCAGATCTGCAGCAGCCCTGCGAAAATTTTTTTTTGCAAAAATTTAAAAAATTCAAAATTTTGCCATTAGAATTAAAATCTCGGGGAAAAGCTGATGGGGTGATGATTCAGGTCGAAAAAAAACTTTAAAAAACGTTTTTTTACAAAAAATTTCGATTCAGCAAATGTCAAAAAACTAAAAAACATTTTTTAAAAGTTTTTTTTCGACCTGAATCACTCCATAAAGAAAAGTCGAAAAAAAGAGCTTAAATAATAGAAAATCAAAAATTTCGATTTGATTTCAAATCTTGAAGAAAAAAATGAATTTTAAAAAATTTAAAAAACAATTTTTTTTCCTAATTTTTTTCCCCACCAGTCGTATTTTGCCAGTGATATGAAAATTTTAACAAAATTACAATTTCTCAACTCACTTTAATATAAGTTTTTGAATTCGGACCAATTGTGGAATAACTTGTGAAACATAACTGTCAGACTTCGAAAGTTCTTTAACACTACTGTTCAAACATGCTAGAATTGGTTGGAGGATCATAAGCTGATCATATGCAATTTCATCAATGTATGCTTTGTGTACAACACTTCGAAGTGATAATTCTGCCATCCATTGGTGCTGTAAGAAACATTGGTTTCATGAAAATCTGAATAGGAACTTACATATTGTAAAACATCTGACAAAAATTCCGAAACATCTGTCCATTTTTTTTAGTTGGATTTTCGGAAAGTCAAAATGTGTCTTGTTAGCAATAAAGTATCTGAAAATACTACAAATGTATCAAAACATTTTGATTTCTTCAAACTCACTTTTGAATTTGCATTTGGAAATTGTTATCATTCTTAACACCCATGAAGAAGTTCTCCAATACATCAAGAGCTATTTCAAATTCCGGAATTTTGAGAAGCTCATCGGCAAATTTGGTGATATGAGAGAAATAACAATCATAACTCCTATCAATGATACCAACTTCGTGGAAATATTGAGCAATTTCCGGGTTAGAAGTGACCAAACTCGGAAATCTGATTTTCTTTGCACAATACTCATTTGCCGAATATCGAATTTCATGGAGAATCAAAACTGGATCAATTCTGGAAAAATATGCAATTTGAAAAAATTATTTTCGAATGTGAACTCACTCCAACGAGCTCATTTTCATGAATTTCACAGTATTTTCACGAGCAGCAGTGGCATCATTGAAATAATGCAAAGAAAACGCCAAATATACGTCAGAATCATTTTTAAACGTATCAACAGTGATTGAGATAGGTTGAACAAATTGTGTTAAATCAGTACTGCGTTTGTCAGACTGCAAAAATCAAGATTGAAAAAAATTCAAGATATTGGATTTTTTGAAGTCCATTTCATCAATATTCACTTGTTTGTCATATTTCAGCGCATTTGTTTTTCTGAAAATATGGGGTTGGAAAACGACAAATTCAGCCAGTTCGTTGCAATTTTCTCACATTACTCACTTTTTCATAGGCAACGGTAATCTTCCTTTCGAAGTTGTTGGATTCATTTGAACAGAAGTTGTTGGGATCTGAAAACCGACCAAATTTTAATAAATCGTTTCAACTTGTGTCTAAACTAAACTTACAATAACTCCTTGTGCAGTAGGCTTTAGGCTCATTTTACCTGGAAGTTTTCAAAAAAAAAGCGAAAAAATTCACTACGGTACGCTATTTGTGCATTTGTGCGTCGCGGTGTTTACACACTAGATAGTGATTTCAGCGCATTTTCGCCATGTTAGGGGCATTTTCAGAGAAATCTGATTATACCATCTGATTCGTCTCGTCGAGATGAAGCAGGAAAACTATTTACTTGTTTCTGAAACGCATTCTCAAAAAAGTTATGGGCTGAAAATAAAATTATGAGCAAATCAAAGGCGCACACATTTTTCGAAAGAGTGAGGTCTCGCAGCGATTTCAGTTTTTTCACGTTTTTCTACGTGAAAACGTCATTTTAAGGACTTCTACTATACTTATTCGAAGAGAAGAGATGAAATTACGTATGTATGAATGTTTCGAAAATTTTCTAAGGAGATAGAACGCGCCGCCGCCAAATGCAGACCTATTTTTCGGCGTCAGATTACTGTACCGAGAAATTTTGTTCAGACAAAACAGGCGTGATAAGTACTAAATATCTCAAATTATCAAAAAAAAATTTTTTTTCACAAGAAACATATTATTTTCTGTTGTTGATTCCAAGCCCAAAGTATACTGTAGACCCCCGCAACAATTTCCCTCATCGTTTCTTTTTTATCCCACATACATATTATATACATAAAAATTGTACTTTTTTCACAAAACAATCATCTTTTTGTCTGTCTCCCGAAACCTTATCCGCGATAAGAAAATGAAACGTCTGCACCCTCTTCATCTCCTCCACTCTCTCACCATCGCCTACTACAGTAATCGTTCAAGATAAAATCGAGAGTTTGACATTGAGAGACGATGTTGTCCTGATTTTTTATCTTCTTTTTTTTGTGTCCAGCATTTTCATCGACCCACTTTCAAAATTTTAAATACAAAATCAAATATTTGAGTTGTTGTTTTTTTTTTTGCAAAATAAAAAAAGTTGGAAAAGTTTCGAATTAGTTTCTGCTTTCACCTAACCTATTTTTTTTGTTCAATTCATTTTCGAAACCGTTAATTTATTTCTTCCTTTTATGTTTTTTTTTTCGGTGAGAATGGGGAAAATGAAAGTTTATGTTTTTTTTTGGAGATTTTGTTTGGGAAGATTTGAGCTTTTTCAGAATTTTTTGAAAAAGGGCTGGAAAACTTTTCTAGAAAAATTTACCAGAAAATCTTTTTTTTTTTCAAAACTTCAGAGCTCTAAATTTTTGTGGAACGTATTTTTGGCACCGAGCCCAAAAAAGATTCCCAAACTTCTGCGATCTAGAGGAGTATTGCTCAAAATTGTTAAAAAAAATTTTCAGCTATTGTCATTGCGAAAAAAAGAACCTTGGAAGAGAACCGAAATGGCCTAGAAAACCAAGACTACAGTAGACTTCGCAAAATTTTGGAGTCTATTTGAAAAATAAAATGCGAAATTTACACGCTGGCTATTTGCCAACCAGTTTGATGTGCATGTGTCACGTCATTTTTAGTCTACTGTACGTGAGCGCCAATTCAAACGGGGGTTCTTTTATTTTCGGATTGACAATAGTTAAGAGTAACTTATGCTAACTTAAAGCCAAAACCCAATTTCCGAACATTTCTGCTTGAGATTTTTCTGTCTAAATTTAAGAATGCCTTTAAAACATTGTGGAATATTTTTGTATTTTGAGTTCAAATTTTCAGATTCTCTCCAGAATATTCTGAAACTCTTTCAGTTCAAATTTGATTCTGAATATTAATTTTTGAGGTTTTTCAGTCGGATCCAAACATTTTGGTTTTTCACTTTTGAAGTTTCAGGGTCTCTAAACTTTGGGAAATATTTTCAGTGTTATCTACAAGATTCTCATATTATTGAGAACTGATGAATATTTAAGAATTCCAAATTTAAATTAAAGTTCAGAAGTTCATTCCTCTTGAATTTCCAGTTTCTAAAATATTCTGGTATATTTCTTGTGAAACTTTCAAAGTTCCCAAAACCCATCAAAGAATTTGTTGCAAACAATATCTCCAAACCAAACAATCCTCTCTTTCCCTTTCATCAATTCAAAAAAAGTGGGCGGAAAAGGAATGTTGTGTGTGTATGGAGGAGGAAAGGCGGCCAAATCAGTAGTAGATCCAAAATATCTTCAACCAGAAAAACTCGGTCATCAATGAGATAGAGGTCAAGGCGAAAAATGAGAAGAAGAAGGGAAGAGATTTCGGTGATTTTCGGCGACTGTCACTCTTTTCTTACTGTTTTCCTTCTTCTCTTATACATATCGTTATAGTGATCTCAATCAGTCATCCATAACCATTCCCTTTTTCTTCTTGTTTACCTTTTCTGGACTTTTATTATTATTACATACATATTTTTTGTTTAAATGTTTCAAAGGCACTTTTAATCTCTTGAGAATGTTGAATCCCGAAAAAACTTGATTCAATTCAATGAGTCAGAATCCCGAACTGGTCTTCTTTTCTTTCATCTCTTTATATCCTTTTTTCCGATTACACTTGTCCTTATTTAGAAAAATTTCTCATACCAAATAATATACCAAATATATTTTTCTAGATGCTGATAGCTGCATTATTTATATCAGCGCTTGTGTCACCAACTTTGGCAGTTTTCGAGTGCTCCTCGCACGAAACAACCGCTTTCGTAAGAATCGCGCGTGCTCGACTTGACGGAACTCCAGTTGTTATCTCAACCGCCGGACACGATTTAACATGCGCTCAATATTGCCGTAACAACATCGAACCAACCACCGGAGCTCAACGAGTTTGCGCTAGTTTCAATTTCGATGGACGAGAGACTTGCTATTTCTTCGATGATGCGGCTGCTCCAGCAGGAACATCGCAATTGACAGCGAATCCATCGGCGAATAATTTCTACTATGAGAAGACTTGCATTCCAAATGTTTCAGCTCACGAGGCTTGCACTTACCGAAGTTTCTCATTTGAAAGAACTAGAAACACCCAATTGGAAGGATTCATCAAGAAAACTGTCAAAACCGAAAACCGCGAAGCCTGTCTCTCAGTCTGCCTTAAAGAGAAAGACTTTGTTTGTAAATCAGTCAACTTCCATTATGCTGACAATTCCTGCGAACTCAACGTCGAAGATCGTCGCTCGAAACCAACCCACGTGAAAATGGCTGAAGGCGTGGATTATTATGATAATAATTGTCTTTCACGTCAAAATCGTTGTGGACCATCGGGTGGAAATTTGGTTTTCGTCAAGACTACCAACTTCGAAATTCGCTATTATGATCATACACAATCTGTTGAAGCACAAGAATCCTACTGTCTTCAGAAATGTCTCGACTCATTGAACACATTCTGCCGGTATGTTGTTTGTTCCGACCGGTTTTGTATTTGAAACATTTTACAGCTCCGTCGAATTCAATCCAAAAGAGAAGAATTGTATTGTCTCGGATGAGGACACTTTCTCGCGCGCTGATCAACAAGGACAAGTTGTTGGCAAAGATTACTATGAACCAATCTGTGTTGCTGGTGAGTTAGCGCAACTCCTTAGGGAGATTTGAATTGAATTGTTTCCAGCCGATCTTTCCTCTTCAACCTGCCGTCAACAAGCCGCTTTCGAAAGATTTATTGGATCTTCGATTGAAGGAGAAGTTGTCGCCTCGGCTCAAGGTGTTACCATCTCGGATTGTATCTCATTGTGCTTCCAGGTGAGTAATCTGGGGACGAAGTTGTGGAATTTGAGCTCTTCAGATCTTGCTGAACTGCCTCAAGATCACAAATCAGAGCTTTTGACAAAAACATCCACGATCATTTACTCCAGTTGCCCCTCGGGTCAGACGAGAGACGACGGGAGTCTGATGACGTCATCTAAGACAGAGAAAGAGATATTTTTGAGAAAATATGTGTCCCTTTGAAAAAATACCGTATTTTGTTTCAAGGAACACATGTTTTATTGAAAATATCTCGCAGCGAAATCCACTTTCGGGATAGTTTTGCAAAATACTTTCGTCGTCTCGCGTCTGACTCAACGGGCGCCTTGTATGGTCGTGGCATCTATTATCGAAAATCTCATCGGTACCACGCGCTCCACCGAAATAAACACACAACGCAGACCGCTCCGCGCCACAACACACACAAATAAGGGAACGATTCAAATTCCCTCCCTTTTTTGTGTGTGTGTTGTGACGCGGCGCGGTCTGCGTTGCGTGTTTATTTCGGTGGAGCGCGTGGTCCGATGAGATTTGCGATAATAGTTTAAATGATCTGTAGATGTTTTTGTCAAAAGCTCTGATTTGTGATCTTGAGGCAGTTCTAAAAGGTTCGAGCAAGATCTGAAGTTTCATCAGAGCTCAAAAATTGCACACTTCTGCAAAACCCTGTAACCTTCCAGAACCTCAACTGCAAATCAATCAACTACGATCGCACCGCCTCCTCATGCTTCATCTACGCCGTCGGTCGTTCCGATGCCAACATCAAAGCCAATCCATCAATGGACTATTACGAATTCAACTGTGAATCGCAATTCGGAGGAATGGCTCTCTGCACCAACGAAGGAATCCGTTTCATTGTCAACACAAAAGAGCCCTATACCGGAGCAATTTATGCGGCAGAAAGATTCTCGACATGTTCACAAGTCGTCGAAAACGCCAAACAAATCTCCATCACCTTCCCTCCACCAACAGTCACTTCTGATTGTGGAACTGTTATTCGTGACGGTAAAATGGAAGCCTTGGTTGTTGTCTCTTTGGATGGTGTTCTTCCACATCAAGTCACCACTGAATGGGATCGTTTCTACCGAGTTTCCTGCGATGTTAGTATGGATAAGATGGTTAAGGAAGGATCAGTTGTTGTCACAACAATCTTCGAAGCTTCTTCACAAAACACAACTGTTTTGGATGTTGCAACTCCACCTCCAGTTTCGGCTGAACTTCAAATCTTGAATCAATTGGAAGAGCCACTTCACAAAGCTTCAATCGGAGATCCACTTCTTCTTGTTATCACTTCTGAACAAGCTGGTCCACATAATATGATGGTTACTGAATGTACTGCTACACGTGTTGGTGGATATGGAGACAGTGTTCCATTTACACTTATTGAAAATGGATGTCCAAGATATCCAGCTTTGGTTGGACCAGTTGAACAAGATTTCGATAAGAATCGATTGAAATCGGATTTGAGAGCTTTCAGACTTGATGGATCTTATGATGTTCAAATTATCTGCTCAGTTATGTTCTGCGCTGGACCAAATGGATGCCCAGTGGTGAGTTGTGGATTTTGTTGAATATTTTCCCCAAAAAAATTTTTTTTTCAGTCAAACTGTTTGGACTCTGGAACCAACGAACTTTTCATGTCACACGGAAGAAAGAAGAGATCCGTCGAATTCGAAAATGACGGCGAAGAAACACTTTCGGCTGTTATTCGAGTTTTCGCGGAGGGAGAAGAGGATGAGAAGAGTGAGATGCAAAATATGACTAACAGGTGAGGAAGGAACTAGAAAATGGAGAAAATACTGAAAAAAGGTTTTGAAAATTTCGAATCAACACTGAAAATTCAAAACTTTTGGAAAATATCCAAAAAAATTTTTCTGAAAATTTTATTTTTGAAAATTCTAGAATACATTCGCCTGAAATTTCCTGGAAAATTCAAAAAATCAAGATTCTGTGATTCAAATTTAACTTCAAACTATCGGAAAATATATTTATTTTTTTTTTTTAGAAAATACTGAAAAAAGGTTTTGAAAATTTCAAATCAACACTGAAAATCAAGAAAAATTCCAAGATTTATTAATGTTTTTTTGAGAATTCTAGAATTTCAGCTTAAATTTTAGAATGTTCTGAAAAAAATCCAGTTTGAAAATTCCGATTCGAATTTCAAGCTTCATCCAAAAAATTAAATATATTTTTTCGGTAAAGTTTCTGAAGTTCGGGAATTTTTAAAATTCTGGATTTGAAGTCTTGAAATGTTCAAATCAACACTGAAAATCAAGAAAAATTCCAAGATTAATTAATTTTTTTTTGAAAATTCTAGAATTGCAGCTTGAATTTCAGAATGTTCTGAAAAATTATAGCCTGAAAATTCCGATTCAGTTCAGGAAACATTCAAAATTCTGGATTTGAAGTCTTGAAAATTTCAAATCAATAATGAAGATCAGGAAAAATTCCAAGATTTATTTTTTTTTGAAAATTCTGAAAAAAGCCTGAAATTTCGAATTTCGAGCTTCATCCAAAATCATCCGAAAAATTAGTTTCAAGTTCAGAAAACTCTGGATTTTCAGTTTGAGATTCACCAAAACCAAAAAATCTCCCAAAATTTCCAGCATCACCTCATCCGAATCCAGCCACGATCTCGTGTGCCTTTCGGAAATCTGGTTCGTCAGTTCAGTCGTCACAATTTCATTGGTTTGTCTTCTCCTCTCAGCTCTTATTGTCGTTTGGGGTTGTCATAATATTCATGCTCAACCAGTCAAGAACATGGCTTAATTTAATTAATTAATTTTGTAATTCTCCTAGAATCTTGCCATAATTACCAAAAACACTTTGCCCCAAAATTGTTAATAATACTTGTTCCTCGACTTGTTCCGATATGCTTTCAATGTTTTTCTTCTCTTCTCAATCACCTTTTTTTTTCTTGTTGATGACATAATAAACAAAAAAAAATAAATTATTAATTAAATGCTAAAAATCACAGAAACAATTAAAATCAAAATCACAATCCCAAATTAGTTAAAACCTCCATAACTTGTTGAATAGTATCTTCTGGTCCAATTACAGTATGCCCGATTGTTCGAGAATCTTCGAAGATTTCGTGATCATTTCCACCCGGCGAAGTTTTATCGCCGAAAAAGTGAATTTCATCGTAGTGTGCGTCGAAATATTGTAGACAGAAGGTTTTGTTCCAACCAGTTGGGAAAACATCGATACTTATTTGACCGCCTGGAATTTTAATTTCAGAGAAAGTTATGACGTGGCAAAACTTCTGTAGAAGTTAGGCCACGTCATAAATTTTGGGCCGATTTTTTTCCAATAACAAAAAAAAATCGGGCCGATTTTTTCCAGAAACAAAAAAAATCGGGCCGATTTTTTCCAGTAAAAAAAAATCGGGCCGATTTTTTCCAAAAACAAAAAAAATCGGGTCGATTTATTTTCCAGCAACAAAAAAAATCGGGCCGATTTTTTTTCCAGCAATATAAAAATCGGGCCGATTTTTTCCAATAACAAAAAAATCGGGCCGATTTTTTTCCAGCAACAAAAAAAATCGGGCCGATTTTTTTTCCAGCAACATAAAAATCGGGCCGATTTTTTCCAATAACAAAAAAATCGGGTCGATTTATTTTCCAGCAACAAAAAAAATCGGGCCGATTTTTTTTCCAATAACAAAAATAATCGGGCCGATTTTTTCCAGCAACAACAAAAATAATCGGGCCAATTTTTTTCCAGAAACAAAAAAATCGGGCCGATTTTTTTCCAACAACAAAAAAAAATCGGGCCGATTTTTTCCAGCAACAAAAAAAAATCGGGCCGATAACAAAAAAATTGGGCCGATTTTTTTCTAGGAACAAAAAAAAATCGGGCCGATTTTTTATCCAGCAACAAAAAATCGGGCCGATTTTTTCCAGTAACAAAAAAAATCGGGCCGTTTTTTTCCAATAACAAAAAAATCGGGCCGATTTTATTCCAGCAACAAAAAAATCGGGCCGATTTTTTCCAGTAAAAAAAATCGGGCCGATATTTTCCAAAAAAAAAAAATCGGGCCGATTTTTTCCTATAACAAAAAAATCGGTCCGATTTTTTCCAGCAACCAAAAAAATCGGGCCGATTCTTGTTTAATTTAAAAAACGTGAAAAATAAAAAAAAAAAAGTATTTAGGTCAAAAAATTGTTGACGTGGTCCATTATCCAGCAAGAATTCCTCATTTATATTTTTCAAAATGCTAACAAAACAATCGATTCAATGGTTTGATATTCCACTCGAAATTCGAGAAATGATAATGAATAAAATGAGCAGACAAATATTGTTGAAATTTGGCTCAACTTGCACAAAAAGCCAACTCGAAATTCGAAAAGCCAACAAATATTTCAATTTTATTAGTTTCACTGATTATGGCGGTGAACCGCGATTCAAATATTCGATCAATATTAATGGATTTTGCATTGTTGTTGAAAAAATCGATGAGAATCACACCAAGATTTTCGGTGAAAAGAAGGATTTGGAAGGGGAGAAAAAGGTGTTATGGACAGAATTTCGAGATGAAACTGTTAACAAAATCTGTCTTCAAATTATGCAAGATTATTTGGGCAGAATTGGAAAACGATTGAAAACATTTGAAATTCAAACAAAGGTGAGCCAGATAAATTATTCAAAAAAAATGTTAATGAATTTCAGAACAGCCGTGTCAGATCTTTGCTAGTTTTGAATCTCAATCTTCAAAATTGCAAAAACCTCGAATCCCTTCAAATTTCCAATACAATGAGGCAAATTGACTTGTTCGAATCGGGATTTCTCAACTTCGAAGTTATTAAAAATATCGAAGACTGGCTTAAACTACCCTACACAAGTCTAACTTTCGATCAACTCATTCAACTTCGAGCAAGCTACATCAAAATCTATTGTAAAGATTCACTGAACGAAAATGATGTGAGGAATTATGTGCGATTATGGATAGATGGAAAAATCAATTCAAGTTTGGAATATCTTGATATCCGCGCGGCGTATCGAAAATCATTGATGACTCGAAAACTCGAAGTTAATTTGGATGATTTTTATCACAATCAGCGGGATGAATATGGATTCTCATCCGAAAAACGTATTCAATCACGAGTAAATCCCAAATTATTCCTCAAAATATCTGAGAAAACCGATATGAGACTATGTTTTTCGGTTGAAAATGATGACGAAAGAGCAGCGAGGTGGAGAGAATGGCGGGATGAAGAAATTGATTTTGAAGAAGAGGAAGAAGAACTTGTAGAACATAATGAATAGTTCGGATGATTTTGTGATTTTTTTCAACAATTTTTCAAAAATCCTCATAAAAAATCCTTGAATCCCGGTTCAAAAAAAAATTAACCCACCAATAGCAAATTCCAATCCAAAATCGGAAAATCGATTTTTGAGCTCATCAACAAATTTCTGCCTAATTCCATGTTTTTTGTCGAATTCGACAAATTCCATTCTTTCCGATTGCGAACAACTTCGACCAATTGGTGACAAATTTATCATTCCCTGCAAAAAAAATTGTGAAATTGATTGTGAGATTCAAATTTCTTACATTTCTGAACTCGACAAATTGTCCTCTTTTCACTGGCAATCGAATATTTGCCATGTATCCCAATGCGAAATTGATCAAATCTTGCAATTTTTCATCGCCAATTTTTTTTTGGATGCTTTGAGTCGGGAATTCGTCGACGCCTTTGAAACCGACCAAACCATTCTCGCTGAATGTGTAGTCGAATAATGAGAGTACTGCAAATCAGACACATGGGAATTTTTATTAGAAAAATTTTTTTTGAGCTCCGAATTCGGATTTTTTGAAATTTATTCGACCTATTTTCAGACAAGAAAATGAGTAATTTTATTTGAAAATCAGTCCACGTGGAATTTTTCACGTGAAACTTTTCAAAAATTAATTAACGTGGAAAAAAGACTATACTTAATTTTCTAGCTTAATTTTTAAGCTTTTTGATTGAAAATCATGTGCCACGTGGAAAATTTTCCCCAAAAAAACTCACAATGATCTTTATCATCAGCCAATTGTTCGGTAATTTTCACCAAATCCGATCCACCAACAACTCCCAAATTCACCCGTTTCCTGGTCTCCACCAAAAATTCCAACATTTCTTGCGTGACTTTTTGTCGCGCAGCCGTAAGAGTTCCATCGACATCGAACACTAAAATTGCTCGTTTTGCAGAAGACATCTTCTAAAAAATATTATTGATCGAATATTTTCCTGAAATTTTTTAAAAATAAAATAAAATATTAAAAAAGGTTGAAAACTCCTCTATCGAAAAAAAAAAGCCAAAAACGATGAGAAAAAAATAATGAAAAATTTTGTTCAACACAAAAAAAAAAAGTGCCACGTGTTTGTGTAAACACAGAAAAAAATAAAATAAAGAGAATATACACACACACAAAATATGATATAAAATGAGATCGTTTTCATGTTTCTGCTGTTGATGTTGAAGTAGAAGGATGGGGTACTGGAAAAAAAAAATTATTAGGATTTTGGTGCTGAAAAAATCTGTGAGCTCTAGAAACCAGGAAAAATCAATTTTTAGTGAAAAATTTCGAGAAAAAATCGTGTTTTGTCGATTTTTCGTCGAAAATGATTTATGGTATCATTTTTTTTTTCAATTTCTGAAAATCTAGAAACTTTTCGGAATTATAATTTCTGTTTTGAAAATATAAACGAAATTGTAGACGTGTTCAAAAAACAATAACTTCGGGAAATTATTTCAATTTTCCGTCACGAAATATGTTTCAAGCTGAATTTGAAAATCCAATGTTCCTCTTTGACAAAAATCTTCAAAACTCTCTCACATTTTGGATTATGCATCATTGCCAAAACCACATTATTGCTCCATTCCGAATATTGTGCACATTTCCTGGATTCTTGAGAAACCTCCAAACATTTCAAAAGCACAGCAGATTGTTCTAATTCAATCGATCCACGAAGAGTCTAAACGAAAATTAAAAAAAAAAAATAAATTTCAAGTCAATCTCAAAACTCACAACCACCCATTTCGAGTGTCTTGAACAATTATCTTTTGCCAACATACAACCACTATCTCCAAATGGGCTGAAAATTCACTCATTTTTATTATTTCAGAAGGAAGAAAAACCCAACTCTTCATCCTCGATAATTTCCGAAATTGTATATGATTTATTGTCCCATTTTGTGGGATATCCGCAAATATTCATCACTTGTTCTGGTCCTTGTTTTCGATGTTCGGGACAAAGGGATTTGAGGCGTTTACAGAATCCTCCTTTTCGTGGATCTTGCCTTTCGCAGAATATTCTATCGGAGCCAAACTGCAAAAAAATCTCAAATTTTTTTCCAGAAAAAAAATCTGTTTGATAAATAATTGAATTTCTAAACGTTCTCGAGATTCAAATTTCACTGTTTCAATGAAAAATGCATAAAAATTCTAGCTTTATTTAAAGTACAGTAGGCTTATGGAATATCAAAATGCTCCAAATTTCGCGCGAAAACCTACAGTAACCTTCCCCTAGGCTTATGGGATATCAAAATGCTCCAAATTTCACGCGAAAACCTACAGTAACCTTCCCCTAGGCTTATGGGATATCAAAATTCTCCAAATTTCGCGCGAAAACCTACAGTAACCTTCCCTAGGCTCATGGAATATCAAAATGTTCCAAATTTCACGCGAAAACCTCACCAAGTGGATCCTAATACAACTGTAATATTTTCGGTCCAAAATCATTAACTCACTTCAGCTCCGTTAAAAGAAATGGCTTTTTCTGCTCTTGCCCAACAAGTTTCCACGTGTTTCGCATATTTTCGGAGTGGAACATCGTTCTGGCCGCAGACAACACAGGCTTCGAACTGTAAAAAATAAATTTTGAATAAAAACCTGATTTTTAGAAGAAAATTCAAAATTTCGGATAAACATTATTGTATTTCTCTTATAATTTGATTTTCTATGAAATATTGATTATAATTTTAAAAATTTGAATGGAAATTTCTAATAAAATGACAAATTAAAACTTAATCTTTTTAGTTCGAAATTTTGAAAATGATAACACAAATTTCCGTGTAAAATTTTGAAAATAATTTCCGATCCCCAAAAATGCTCACCAACGACTCTTCAATTTTGCTCTCTTCACCTTCCGGCTTCAAATTCGCCATTTTTCCAATATATTGATGTAATCTCTCGATACATCCAACCAATTTCCTCTCATTTTCATGAAGTTCTTTCATCTCCAAATCATATTGCATTTTCTTTCTCTCCATTTCTGTTTCATGTGTTCGCGGACCGGAGAAATATTCTTTACATCTCGCTGGCAAAACTTCAGTCAATCGCATTCGAGCCAAAATTCGACCACAATCATCCGAACAATATTTGGATTCTGTTCGAGCACTTCTGATACAATCTGGATTGAGACATTGGCGAGGTGGCTCGAATTTCTAGAAATGAGGAAAGATTTATATTTATTTTGGAAATGGTCACGTTTTTCATTTTGAACGGTTATTTTTCATTTTGAATTTTTTGTTTTCGAAAATTTCCTAGGATCAATATTTTAAGTACGAAATTGTGAGCTTATTTTGAGAATATGTATTTTTGTCGGTCTTGCGCTAAGGAGTCGTGCCTTGTGAGCTTCTGTGGCAAGGAGCCGTGACTTGTGAACCAAGAAGCTGCGACTTGAGAGACCGACAAGGCACAGCGCTTTGCAACAGAAGCTCACAAGGCACGACTCCTTGAAGTGAAGCTTCTCAAACCACGACTTCTTGAAGTGAAGCTTCTCAAGGCACGACTCCTTGGCATGAAGCTTCTCAAGGCACGACTTCTTGAAGTGAAGCTTCTCAAGGCACGACTCCTTGGCTTGAACCTTCTCAAGGCACGACTCCTTGAAGTGAAGCTTTTCAAGGCACGGAGTCTTGACCTGAGGCTTCTCAAGGCACGGCGCCTTGGCCTGAAGCTTCTCAAGGCACGGAGCCTTGGTCTGAAGCTTCTCAAGGCACGACTTCTTGAAGTGAAGTTTCTCAAGGCACGGCGCCTTGGCCTGAAGCTTCTAAAGGCACGGAGCCTTGGCCTGAAGCTTCTCAAAGCACGACTCCTTGAAGTGAAGCTTCGCAAGACACGGCTCTTTGAATTGGAGCCTCTCAAGGCACGGCACCTTGTCCCAAAAATCCCCAATCCTCCCCAAATTCTCACCCTATTCACAGTCATTTTTCTCTTCAATTCATTATTTTGTCTAGTTGGCCGATATATTCCATCATCTCGCTCCTTTTTCGTTTTTTCCTCTTTCTGTTTTTTCGCCGCCATTTTCTCCTTCTCTTTCTCTTTTTCATTTCCCGATTTTCTACCTTTTTTCTGTGCTTTTTCATTAAGCGAAAAATTTCCAGATGCAACTGAAGCTATACTCAAATTCAAATTCTCCGCATCTTTTCGTCGTTTTTCTTCCAACTTTTTTTCCTTAGCGACTGGAAAAAGGTTGTGGATTGGATTAAGAAAAAAGGGCTTTTTGAGCAACTCACGTTTATCTTGATACAATCTTTTCGCCTGAAAACATCGCCTTTTTAGACAATGTTTTTGGACTTGACACGGTTCACATTCGTTGCAATTTTCTTTTGTTGAACATCTCACACATTCTTCACACCGCATTTTCCAAACTTCTGAAAAAAAACATGGGGGTATTTTATTAGAGTTAGAGGAAATTCAGCTCTGGAATTTCCAAATTTCAGTGAAATTTTGGAAGAATTCTTTAATAATTTTGAAAACTGTTCGTTTTTGAGTCAAAAAATCAATAAAAATATGAATTTCAATGAAAAAAAAAGAAATTTCGATCAGAATTTCAAAAATGTATCCTCTAAAATCAAAAGCTTCAAATTTCCCCCTCGAATCCCAAATTCTCAAAATTCTCATACCTTCATTTTCCGGCGGGAGCAATGGTCCGGATTGTTCCATTTTTCTGCAAAAACACATTATCCTGAAATTTTTCAATTCCCAAAATAATTCAAGGCAAATCAAACCCATCAAAATCTCACCCAAAATTGTATAAATAACATTTATTTTTTCTCTGTAAGAGATAAAAACAAGAGATTTGTGGAACGAACAAATAAAAAAATAAACAAAAAAAATTCAATATTTTTGGGGGATGGGTGGGATGATAAAAATAAATAAAAGGAGAAAAACATCAGCTTATTATTCCTTCTTTTCTTCTTCAACAATTTGTGGTTCAACAACATCTTCTTCTCCAATTTCTTCAGCCAAAACAATTTCTTGAATTGATTCGTCTTCTTCTTTCGAATCCTCTTTTGCTGCTTTTTCTTCTTTTTTAGATTCTGACTTTTCAGTCTTCTCCTTTTCCTAGAAAATGATTAGGTTGAAAAACATTTCGGTAAAAACCGTGAATTTGATTTTTTTTCTTGACATCAAAGAGTTTTTCTCAAAAATTCAGAACCCAACTTCCAAAAAAACCCAAACCAACCTTCTTTTCTTCTTTTCTTGGCGGTGGCGGGAGTGCTTTTTCAACAACTCCAAAGATACGATCAGCATGTCGTTTGCAATCTTGCAACGCTTGCTTCAACACCGAATGATCATCTTGTGTTGTTTTCAATTGAGAAGTGACTTCCGATAACTTTTTCGACGCTTTTTGATAGTGCGAATCGATGTCCTTTCGCTTCTTTTCAATGTCTTGTTTGGCTTCTCGCAATTGTTCTGAAAAATGAGGGAAAATCTCAAATTGTCTTCAAAAAAAACTCACCAATCAAAGAACTCTGTTCATTAATCGTCGACTTAGCCGCATCTCTCTCATTTTCCGCTTGTTTCAACAATTTCAACTTCTGCGCAATATTAATAACACTTCCATTGAATACAACAACACCATCTTCTGAAGTTGCAGCTGTTTTCTTATCAGCAATTCCATTTGTTGTCTCATTTGCCAATAATGCTTTTCCATATCCTCTCATCAATTCATCAGTTTCAACAACATCATCAGCTCCAGCTGGTGTATATCTCACATTTCCATCCAAATCACTCAAAGTGTCAGTGAGATGTCGATAATTAATCTTGTCTCGAACAGCCAACTTCTTCGTCAATTTTTGAATTTGTCCCCGCGAAATTCCAAACTCTCCATTATATAAAATATCTTCAGCATCTTTTTCAGACAAATATCCACAAAGATTGATGTCGAAAAGTGAGAATGCTTCATAAACTGTTTTGTTAGCAACAATACTTTTCAATTCGACTTTCTCAATTTCCTCCTTTTTCTCCTTTTCCGGACTTTCCTTCTTTTCAGCTTCTGCGACTGTTTCATTTTCAGCTGGAATTGTCTCATCTTCTTGTTTCGCTTCAACAACAACTTTCTTGATTCTCGCTTCTTCTCGTCTTTTCTTTTCTAATTCTCGATCTCCACAATTTGCCAATGTTTCATAAATTGTGAATGCAGCATTTCTTTCAATCATCTCTCTGAACGCTTCAACAAATAATGAAACTTCAAATTGCGATTCCTTATTATCATCACTTCTATAATCCAAAAGCGAGCTAACTGTCATAACTTTACAATCAAACTTTCCAGATTTATAATTCTTCGATGGATAAACACAAATTCTTTTCTCCTTTGGAAGTTGATAATGTTTCTCCAACAATTCCTTCTTCTCCTTTTTCTCTTTTTCAAGAGCCTCTTCTTTCTTCTTCCGTTTTTCCGCATCTTCAGCCTCTTTTTTAGCTTCCGCCTCATTTTTCGCCTTACTTTCTTCCACAGATGGAGCTATGAATGCAGCCGGATTTTCATCAGCGCCTTCAACTTTCACATCACTTTCATCTTTCATTTCAACATCTTTTGGTTCCGCAGCTTTTTCATTATCCAAAGCGGTTTGAAGACGTTGGACTAACAATGTTTTTATTCCTTTGGTTTCGAGTCCACGAACTTCCAATTCAGTGCGAAGTTCAGCGACCTGGAAAAATCCAAGATTTGGAAATGCAGGAGGTTTCAAAAAAAAAACTAACCTTCATGCTTTTTGGGTCCAATTTACTCCAATTTGTTGGTCCCGAACTTTGTGGTGTTGGATTTTCACCATTATCAATCGATAAATCTCCATTTTCCGATTCCATAGTCACATTGTTAGCTTCTTCAGCAATTGATTGTTCCTCTACCTAAAGAATAACTATTAAATCTCGTAAAAAAACAATTTCCAGAATCCTGTAAAAGTATCATTAAATATCTGATAATTTTGAATTTTTTGTGCGAAATCAACCTGTCAAGCATGCAAAAAAGGTTTGAAATGCATACATATCACATATAAAACAACACACGACGATTAGAGCGTTTGCTGCGGAAGAAAATAAAAAAAAACACAAAGGGTGATAAGTTAGGCTAAAAAGAAGTAGTAAAAATGTGAGACGATACTTTCCTTGACTTCAGGCTCCTCTTTAACTGGCGCTTCTTCAGTTGGTTTTTCAGTTGTTTCGACGATAACCGGCTCGGGTTCGGGCTCTTCTTCAATCCTCATCGCATCGATAAGCTCAATTTTTGATTTGAGCTGTGCACCAATCGCTTCTTCAACTTTCGACCAATCCGCATCAGCCGGTGATAAGCATTGAGTGTCGGGAAGAAGCAAATTGACCAAATCGACGCGTTGTTTATCGGCACGGTAGTAACGAATTTGCGCCAATGATAACCTATAGTCGAAAAACTTTGTATGAGAAAATCCTAGAAATGTTTTTTAAAATGAATAATATTGGCTGAATGGAATTGATTGAATGAATGAAAAAAGAGGTTTTGCAGCAAAGAAGATGGTTCGTCGACGATTATATTTGTAGAGGACAAAGAGAAAACAACCGCAATTCAAAAATGGTACAACTTACCATTGAGATACTTCGGATAAATCGATGCCAGTCAACGCGCGAGTTGTTCGAACTGCTGTCTTGATCATTGTTGCTGGTGATGTTGGATCTTGTCCGTCGAGTGAAGGTGACCAACTTCCACCGATTGCCATTGTTTCTTTTCCGCGAACTCCTGGAAAATTTATTTAATTCAACGTGAACGTTCAAATAATGTTTTTTCCCCAAAACCCCCTCATTTTCCCACTTCACAAATTCACTAACCAACTAAAAACTGCAAATTCTTCCAGAAAGACTGTGGTTCTTGATTATCATCAGTACTTCCATCAGGTAACAAGCAAAAAGCTTTTTTCAAAATCTCTGATTTTCCAGCATGTGACAACAGAAGAACTTTAACTTGATGTCGATGATCAGCATCTTCCGGTTCGAATTCTGGCAAAACAACGTTTCCGAATGGATTTTCGACGTCTTTGTGGAAAACGTGGAAATTGATTTGATTGTTGAGATCTAAGGCAAGATCCAATGGTACATTTTTAACCCAATCGAATGACAAATCAACATAATCTGATGGAAGATATAATTTGTTATAACGATGACGGAGTGTTGAACCAGAGATTATTTCGCTGAAAAAGAAGGATGATTAGTGAAATCAAGATATATATCAAATTTACCCTAAAAGCGCTGGTCTCTGAATCTTGCATTCATATCTCGGAATAATTCTTGCTCTTCGTCGTGGTGGACTTGCACTATCTCTTCTGACCGATGGAGCAACACTTCCACTTGGACTTCGCTCTCTTTTCCGATCGACTCTTACTGGCGACGCTCTTCTTGGTGGCGGTGAAGCTCGGCGTTGTGGCGGAGGACTTCGACGAGTTTCACGAACTCTTTCACGTTTCGGACTGCTGTTGCGACGTGGTGGAGATTGTCGACGAGGTGGAGAATGACGACGACTATTCGCGTTTCCACGATCACGCGGTGAAGTTTCTCGACCATTTCTATCGTTTGAATTGTTGGCCCATCGAGAAGTTCTGAACAAAACAATATGAAATATGATTTTTATTTCAACAAAAAACTTACTCTTGCTGTCTTCCGCCTTGATTATGATGTTGTGGTTGTTGAGCTGGTTGTCGAGCCGCAGGTTCAGGTTGCCCTTGTGAAGCAGCATTCAACAATTGAATACGGTAAGCATTCCATTTAAAAGGCATCGCTGGGTTATAACTCGCTTCGACCATAACTTTGTCGCCAACACGTGGATGAGCACCGCGAATGACGCTGTGTTGAAAGAAAACATCGTCGTCGACAAAACCATAAGTGTCCAACATTTTTGTGACGACACCGACAAAAGTTCGCTGATTTTTTCCAGACGCTTGTTGAAGATTGTTTGCAGCTGCCGCGGTTTGGAACTAAAAAAATTCATAGGTAGAATAATAGTATTGATTCAAGGAAGATATATTTTTGCAAAATCTTACCTGTGTTTGTTGCAAAGTTTGTTGTGGAACAGCTCCCATAATTCCTTGCATTCCAAGAACATTTGGTGAAGAGAAAGCGGCTTGATTGACCATTCCCATTGGGACGCCCATTCCAACCATCGAGAAACCTCCTACATTTACAGCTGGAAAGCCAGAAAGTTGGCCAGCTGCACCGGGTGCAGCCGGGCGGCCCCATTGACCTGGTGGTTTGCCACCTCCAAACTGAGACATTTAACTGGCTGAAAATATTGGATTGGATATAGATTTAGCGGGTAAAAAAAGAAAAACTCGCGGAAGAGGTAGTAAATATAAACATTTCTATTATTTACATCCCTTTCTAGGAAATTTGATAGGCTTGCCTGGGTGAAGGGCAAATAGCAATTTCATAACATTCGAAAAATTGCGAAACTCGCTCTCATTCTTCTATTCAAGCTAATAGGGCGTTTTTTTAGGTTTCAGTTTAAAACCTTCTTAAATTAACGTTTTTTTGGCTTTAAAGTTTGCATTGAATTTTAGCTCTTTTTTTCCGAAATTTTTACAGTTAAAACTTTCTAACGCAAACATATTTGATATTGGAAGTATGCGTTTCACAATTAGCACGCTTGTTTTCTATGTTTTCCCATGGAAAGAACATTAAAACTCAAGAAAACGAAAATTAAAATCGAACGAATATGCACACAACAACATTTTCGACGAGAGACCGTGCAAAAACACGAGACGCAGACAGAAAAACACACATCGCTACAAGACCTCAACAAGCTCTAAATAGGTGTACCTTTATCTCTCACGTCGGTCTCTCCTCATTTCACACACTCTCTACACCTCCCGGGAATTTGTTTGTTTTCTTTTCGCTTCCAGCGTTCGCGCGGCGCCTCGCCTGCCATAAATGCAACACAAATACACTACACTGCCAAGAAAAAACCGGTCGACTTAAAATCGACCCGTTTCTTCAATTGGATCAGACCGTTGTTATTGTCCTTTGCTCAAAAAACTGTATTTCCTCATGAAAAAAAAATCATTTTTGTTTCAAATTTTTTTGATGAAATTTCACATGACTCACTGTCTGCATCTCTTATCTCTCCATTTGTATATAATATTATTTTTCCGATAACACACCAGTGTTTATTTTTCGAATCAAATCACGTTTTTTGCAGGCAGGAATGGCCCAAGTTCGGGCTGAATATGATTTCGAAGCGCAGCCAAATTCTGGCGAAATGACAATTTCAGCCGGAGAGATTCTAACAGTCATCAGAGATGTGAGTTTTGAGAGTTTTAAAAAAAATTTAAATTTTTTTGTTAGAACATCGACGGCGGTTGGATGGAAGGTCGAAATGTTCGAGGATCTGTAGGATTGTTTCCCGAATCCTATGTTCTACCGTATATGGCTTCAAGGGCTCCACCAGTGAGTTTTTTGGTGAAAAGTTGAAAAATTTGAATTTTCCTAATTTTGGGGCCAAAAATACAGTAAAATCTAGCCACCAGGAAGATTTCAAAAAAAAAAATGAAAATAAATTTTCCAAAATGAAGGTTGCCACATATTTTTCACGTGGAAAATAATTTTTGGAGTTTATTTTTTGGAAATTTTTGGCTCCAATCTCAAAAATTTCCCCTTTTTCTCAAAATTGAGCAAATTTTTTTTCAAAAACTTGAATTTTCGAACCAAAACCTCCCCCCCCTCCCCCTTCCTTCAAAAAAAAAACTCGATCACATTTCGGTAAATGGGTCCCCCCGCAACAACAAATTGAATCAGTCAGCAATACCACGCGGAGGACAAAACGACAAAAAAAGAAAATTGAAAAAAAAATCTTGGCAAAATTGTCTCCGGGGACTCGCGCGGGGCGAAACTACCTAAATATGTATTAGGGAATGCCACACCAAAACCATTTCATTTTTTACGAGTTTTGTGTTTTCCATCTTAGATAGAATGCTTGTGTTTTTCTCCATTTTTCTTTGATGCTTTGTCCGTGTTTTGGCAAGCATAACTAATTTTTCTTATGAATAATAGGAGATATTTCTTATTCCTCAATTTTCTTTCTCATTTGTTTTTTCTTTCGAAATCTATCTATCAGCCAGAGTGCTCCAAAAAAAAGAAAATTGGATTTTCTTCGGAGCTTTGCTGAAAACAAGTTTTCATTCTCATTTTCAGTTTTGTTTTCTTTTCTTCTCCTATTTTTAGAACCTTTTTTCGAGGTCAAAGGTAACTTTTTCACCGGAAATTGTGTTTTTTATTTCCGTCTTCTTATTTTTCTTTGATCTTTTTGGCTCATAAATACGATATATTTTCCAATTTTTTTCATTCAAGAAGCGAAAAAAAATAAAAAATGCTATTCACTTCATCGCTTCGAAAAGCAGTGGATATGTATCCGCCTGTTTCATCCGAAGAGGCTCATCGACAACTTCTTGAGAAACGTCGGAAACAAATGATCCGAAGACACACTTGTTCGACTTTGATTAAACAAGAAGTTGTTCAGCCGAAAAATAGTCAATGTTTGGGAATTTTGGAGGAGACAAATGAAACGGAGATTTGTCAGACGAGTAGATCGAAACATCATACTTTGGAAATGGTAAAATTATGATTGACTTTTGGTTTATAGATTGATTTATTTCCCAGAAATGGGCTAGTTTTCCTGATTTTCATAGAGAAATACAACTTGTCGAAAAATTAGATTTTGGATACAATTTTTTACAAAATGTTGTAGTCACAAATATGCTATTATCAAAATAAAAAAATTTGGCAAAAAAACGGAGCCCAGAAATTCAAATGACAAGTACGGTGTTTCTTTCAGTCGCTGCGAGACCCATATGTGCGTCTTTGACTTTGTTTCTCTGCCCAACGGTGTGGTCTCGAAACGGTGTTAGTGACGCAGAGGAATACCGTACTTGGGGAAATTGGGATTTGAATTTCTGGCTTCTCTTTTTTTGCCAAATTTTTTTACTTTGATAATATTGGGTCTCCCAAAAATGCACATTTACAGTACGCTAAAATTTTGTTCCTAAATTCAAGGGTTTTTGAGCTTTTGGTTCAAAAAGCGGTTTAAATGTATTCTGGACCTCAGCCAGAATTCGAAAGTTTTGAAAATTTCTTCTCTTGTCGGCATTTTTTCCTATTTACTTCTGAAAAAATCGCCAATGTTTTCTTGCGAAATCAAAAAAAACCATCAGTTTTTATTTTGCTGTAACACAAAACAAAACCAAAAATCGATTTGACCAGCTCGATTTCAGTCATCATTCCCTTATCATTTTATTATATTCCCCCCGAAATCTCCCCCCGAAAAAATGTCGATTTCTTATAATTCTTTTTGGAAAAAAACCTCGACCCCCTGGGCTACTGAAACCAATTCAAATAGAAGAAGTTGTGTGAGTTGGGACTAGAGAAAATGCTATGTTTTTAAGTTTTAAAAAAAAGTTTTTTTTATTTCAGCCAATGGCTCCACCAGCACCTCCACCATCCTCATTTCTTCCTCCTCCACAATCAAATCACTCATCGCGATTGGACGATTGGGGAGAGTCGAATTTTGCGCCACCACCAGCTGCTCCGATTTTACAAGGTATTTTTAGGGGAATATAATTGGTTGGGATAATTTTGAAGGTGAAAATTCAGAACCAGAATGTTCAGATCTATAAAATAATTTGAAAAATGGAAATTTCTGTTCCAATTTTTTTAAGGCTTCAAAACATTTTTTTGCCATTTTAAGAATCGTTTCGAGACCCACCAATTTTTTTTTTAAATTTTCAGCCGTCTCCCAATAAAAATTAAATTTCCAGGTGCTTCTGGAGGAAATCAAACAGCCTACTCTTCTGGCCAAAACAATGATGATTTTGATGATGAATGGACAGATGAAGATGAAGAGCAAAATGTAAGAATTCCCATATTTTGTTGCGCTTTTTGCCCTAGTAGTGATCCTAAATTTTTGCCTTTTCTTTTATCCCTTCTTTCTTTTTGAGAAGGGTCTTCTTCTCTTTATGCGGTTTCCTGTCAAGTTTGTGACCGAAAATGGCAACTTTTTTTTTTTGTTTTTTTTTCGGAGTTTTTTGTTTTGTTTTTTTTTTTTTTGATTTATTTATTGGGAGGCATTGATTTTAGGGGAGATTTGAGCAAATTCTTGAGGAATTTGGAACTATTCAGAAAAAAATGACAAGAAATCATACTGAATTCAGAACCTGAAATTAGAGGGCGAAAATTTGTTGGTAAATTTTCAGAGCGATTTTTGGAAGACATTTTCTATAAACGATAAATTCATAGGTAAAATAAATTATTGTCATTGTTAGTCTTTCAAATTTGAGATAAAATTCAAATTTCAAAATTTATGATATAGATGGGAGACTTGAATCTCAATGGAAAATATTTCAAAAATTTTCGGAAAACATGTTGTATTTTGAATTTTGCTATCATTTTTCAAGAGAGTTGTCACACATTTTCAAGTTCAAAATTTAATTTTGAAATTAATTTTTTAAATTCAAGTTTTTCTACGTGGTATATGATACATTTCCCAAATTTCGAATTTTTATTCTACTTTTGGAATCCTATGCTTTGAGTACATTTAGTTCTAGAACCTTCAAGTATTTAGGTACAGGTACAGTAACCTGCAAAAGAAAATCGTGATCCACGTGGCAAACCTGGAATTTTCTCCCGAAATTCTATCATATTTTTGGACCGTAAAACCACGTGCACGAAATTTTTTCACTTCTAGGCCCCAAAATTCCACGTGGCAATATTCGACTTGTTTTTGAACGACCTTTTCTTCTCCATGAACACATTTCTCTTGAAATTCCGAGTTTTTTTCTCTCTGAATAGCCGCAAATTTCAAACAAATATCGTACTTTTCCTCCACAAAGTGCACCAAAAAAAATGTTGTGAATAGCCAGAAAAAAGTTTACCTTTCTCCGTTTTTCTTTCAAAAAAAAGCATTTTTCTAAATATAATTCCATTATTTCCTTTTTGGTCACCGAAAAAATGTGACTTGCTCATTTTTCACAATTGTCTCTGGAGAAAAAATGAAACATCAATCGGCTTAGGTTAGCAGTTTGTTGAAGAAATTGATGAAAATTCTGAATTTTTATGTTGGAGAAAGAAAGTCTTTGGTCTCTTTCAAGTGACAACTCAAATCTTTTTGTAGTCTCTTGAGATTGTATAACTTCATTCTATATTTTTTATTTTTTGTTGTTGTTTCATTTCAGAAGAAATATGCTATTTGCTCGAGCCAGATCTGCTAGCACAATTGCAATCGATCATCTCTACGTTCATCCGCAAAATGTGAGTTTTTGTGAAGTTTTCGACGTCATTAAAATCATCAAATATTCCAACCGACTTCCGCTAACTAAGAATCCTTTCTTGGTTCTTCCACCCATTTTTCGCTCTTCTTTTTTTCCATCGTTGCTTCTTAGGCTTAGATAATTTGATGTTGTTGCCTTTCAAGTGTACCGCTTGATTGGTTCTATTGACACCCAAGTTTTGCACCCAACACATACACACAAAAAATCTCTCCGAAAAAAGTTGTTTTTGTTGAGTTGTCTCTCTCACTCTTTTCTCACATATCTAGATAAAAAATGAGACGACTTCGTCAATCTGACGCCGATGTTTATTTCTACGATCAGCCGATTCCTATTCAAGAGATAAGAGGAATTCATCGAGCTAGTGTTGTTTCTTTTTCGCCGACACCGTGGGTTGGTTATTTTTTTTAGCAAGATAGATAGTTTGAATTTAGAAGTTGTGTGTTGGAAAGGATCTCTAGGCACGGGTCCTTCAAAAATAGGCTCTCTAGGCTTAGCTACTTGGCAACTAGGCTTTCTAGGCTTGGCTACTTGTGAGAGAAGATTTCAAAGCGCCATAACTGCATTTCCTATCTTAATTTATCCTATGACTGAAAAACATTAAGATTGAGGTCAAAGTTCTATGATTTTCAATTTTTTTCAAGTTAAAGGCGGTCAGACAGCTATTCCGGTTGACGGAGACCACCCACGAAGCCTCTGACTTTAACGGGGCTAAATTTGAACCAAACAAAAGATAGAGATGAAATATTGTGAAAATATGAAACTCCAAATCTTTCTGTGCGAAAGTGCTTTCACTGGTTCGTTTCATAATAAACTATTTTTGACACTAAGCTTTGAGGAAAACCGGAATAATTGTCTAACTGCCTTTAAATCACATTATCTGCAGAAATTTTAGCGGATTTTGTTCAGAAACTGTTTCTGTAACTTCAAAATCAGTCATTTGATAATTTTTTGTGTGAAATGTGTCATAGGATGAATTATTGACCAAATTTATTTTCCTGAAGTTTTCTGCCTGAAAAATTTACATTTCTCATTTCTCGTAGGGTTTTCGGTTATTCTTCAAAGTAGGGTTGTGGTTACATATATCCAAAAATATTCCAAACATTCCTTTTCTATACCAGGAACATCGACTATCAGTCCATGATCCAACATCTCTCAATTCCAATCATTTATTGATTCAACAACGCGCAAGCGGATCTCGAACCGATATTATGTCGACAGATGATGAAACAAGAAGTAGTAGTCAGCAAGGTTATGATAATAAATTTTCAAAAATCTATAAATTTGAATTTTGCAGAACCTCGACGAAATGGATATCGTCGAAAAAGTCGACCGGAATCAATAAGGCGAAGGAAATCGGAGGAGCGAGAATCGCGTAGAAAAATTGAGAAATCGCATACTTGCGAATTGCATAGAGTAAATAAGGATCACTACTAGCGCCAGCGAAGACCTTTTGCATCAAAATAACCCAAAAAAAATTGTTTTTTAATTCCAGGAGCCATCTACCAAACAATCATCGGTCTCGAACTACAATAATCAGCGTCGAGAGATCAGTCGAAGTCATTCCGAACATGGCGGAGATCGAGCTGGATCCAATAAAGTCAACAAAAGTATCAATCGATTTTCGAACTTTGTGAAATCTGGTATGGAAGCCTATGTGATTGGTGAATCGAAAATGACAACACCGGCCAGTGAAACACATGAAATTGTGAATTTGAATGGAATTATTCAATGGAAACCGATACAAAAATATTATCATTGTATTGTGGATAAACCGAAAAAAGAATCGAAATTGAAGGGATTGAAGAGTTTTATCGCTTATTCGCTTACCTCAAATTTGACCAATATTCAGGTGAGCAAAAAAATCGGGGATGCATTTTTAGACTTGATTTTTGAATTCTAGAGCCATTTGAGCTCTGTGGAATATTCCAAAATTCGTTTTTTTGCAGGTTTCCCGTAGATATAAACACTTTGATTGGCTCCACGAGCAATTATCGGCAAAATATGTCTTAATTCCAATTCCACCGCTTCCCGAAAAACAAGTAGCTGGTAGATATGAAGAAGATTTGATCGATCATCGAAAACATATCCTTCAATTATGGGTCAATAAAATTTGTCGTCATCCAGTTCTAAGTCAATCCGAAGTTTGGCTTCATTTCATCAGTTGCACCGATGAAAAAGATTGGAAATCGGGAAAACGAAGAGCCGAAAAGGATGAATATGTTGGAGGGAGTTTTTTGAATTGTATAACGGCACCCGCGCAAAATTTGGAACAAAGTAGTGTGGATCATCAGGTGGAACGATTTCAGAAAAGTGTCAAGACTTCGGAAGAGGCGATGAGAACTATGCAGGAGAGAATGCTGATTTTTCAAAAAGCTTTTGCTGGACGTGAGGATTTTCGGGGAAAATTTGAAAGAATATGGAATAATTTGAGAATTTTTGCATGAAATGAAAAAAATTTGAACCTGAAATTCAGAAAAAAATCAATTTTTTTAAAATTCTCGCGCTTATTTTCCGGTCAGAAAAATTTTTTGATTTTGAAAATCAGATTTTTGAAACAAAAATGTTTCATTTAAAGTTTAGGTTTGTGGAGAATTTCAAAAATCGATCCTTGAACCCACAGTTTTGAACCTAAAATCATACTTTACATTTTTTCCAGCTGTCAAACAAAATTGGCAAAAAATGGGCGGTGCATTCAAAACTCTTCAACAATCCTTTGAAATTGATGATACTATAAGTAAGTTTCTCATTTCTTTTTCAGAACCCCACCCTCAAAAATTAATTTTTTTTTCCAGCAAGTCGAAAATTGACAGACGCTTTAGCTCACAATGCTTCAGAATATTTTGAAATTGGTCAATTATTTGATGCGCATACAAAAAATGATATGGAACCAGTTCTTGAAAATCTATATTCATATAAAGGAACCGTCCAAAATGTGCCGGATATTCTACATGTACATAAACAAGCGATTCAAAAGTTTCGCGAATCGGAAGGTCGACTTTCAGCAGCGGAAGCTGATAAAATGCGACAAAGAATTGATACATTAAGCTATGCTGTAATTGCTGAAATTCAACATCAAACCCAGGAAAAAGTGGAGGAAATGAATACAACAATGGGAACATATTTGAAAAAACAGGCGGCGTTTTATCAAGATGTTGCACAAAGAATGTCGAATTTAGCTTCGAAATATGAATAAGTTTTGATGGGTTTTGTCTATTTTTTCTTATTTATTTATTATTTATATATTTGCATGCTTCTCATATTGTGATTTGATGAATTTATATCCAAAAAATTAGATTTTTTTGAAAATTTTTTGACAAAAATTCCCATTTAAATCCAAATATCTGATGTCGAATCGCCTCCCGGATATCTCATCTCATGTGCCAAATACGGACCACCTTCAATCTTCCCAAAATCCACCAAAAAATCAGAATTCACTGTCATTTTTCCATCTTCTCCAATATCGACCTGAACCATACAGGCGCCATTTTCAAGAAGATTTGGATAAAATTGTGAATCCCATTGTTTATAAAGTGATGTTGTTACATACAATCTTCGACAATCTAGGGATAATTGAAGCATTTGAGGGCCGCCCGGGATTTTGTGGTTTTTTATAATGAGAGGATCGGGAATGGGGAGGTTGTCGAGAACAGTTACACCCGAGTTTTTGTGTAAACTTCCACCGATGTAAATTTGACCGGTTAGATGAATGTTGTTTGGATCGGAAATGTCGTATTGACGAATGTCACCGTGAAGCCAACAGGATACGTAGCTGAAATTTTGGGGGTTTTGTATCTCCATTTGGCGGCGCCGCGTTTTATCTCTAGGGGGCCCCAGAAAAATTTCAAAACATTCATACATCCGTAATTTCATCTCTTCTCTTCGAATAAATATAGTAGAAGCCCTAAAAATGGCGTTTTCACGTAGAATAACGTGAAAAACTGGAATCGCTGCGAGACCTCACTCTTTCGAAAGATGTGTGCGCCTTTGATTTGCTCAGAATTTGATTTTCAGCCCATAACTTTTTTGAGAATGCGTTTCAGAAACAAGTAAATAGTTTTCCTGGCTCATCTCGACGAGACGAATCAAATGGTATATTCAGCGTTTTCTGAAAATGCCTCTAACATGCTGAAAATGCTCTGAAATCACTATCTAGTGTGTAAACACCGCGACGCACAAATGCACAAATAGCGTACCGTAGTAAATTTTTTCACCGTTGCAAAAAAACAGGGGCTTTTTGAGGTGAAACATGTGCTAAGTTGATAAAAAACTAGAAAAATTCCAAATTTTCAGATTCAAATTGAACTCACAGATATTTGTCATCCATGGAAATCAAAATATCAGTGATCAAAGCTGGCATTTCATCCAACGCCCATCCAGAAACTGGTCGACTTTCGATTTTCGCTGCCAAATCAGCCACATATTCTTTTCCATTTCCTGGATGAATATGATAAATTGCGGATCCCAAAGCACATCCAACAAATGCATTTGGCTTTGATGGTTCATGCAAAAATCTGACTTCAAGTGGAAGTGCTCCCAAAGGCAAAGGAAGTTCAATCGATTGTAAAAGTTTATGTGAATCCCACTCGAAAATATGAATCGAGTTACCGTAAGAACCTTCGCCAACATGTTGAGGATTAAATCCTTTTTTGATAAGATTTGGTGTTCCCCATTCTGTGGAAATCATAACATTTTGCCTTGGTTGATACCAGAAATCATAGTTGAACTTTGTAGTTTGATTCGACCAAGTTTCTTTAACCTTGAAGGTAGTTCCATCTAGCAGAAGAAAACTTCCCCGAGCTTCACCGTTTGAGTTTCCCAGGGTTGAAATCA